CCCGGGTGCCTAGTTATCTCTGTGTATACTCACTGCAGTCTTATTCAACCAGGGGCCCTAACCACTAACATGACTCTTCCTCCCGTAGGTACTGAGATCCAGTGAAGCCAACTGACAAAGACGCATCACATGCCAGGTTGATGCCACTATCCGATTGGTTGCTGTCAAATTGGGCCATTTAAAGACCAATAAGCTTCCTTTAAAAAAAAATACAGGATTTTTTAAATTATTATTAAGTAAATACAGGTTTATAACACTATACAGGTCAGGTATACAGTCTTTTAAATCAGTATCTGTATAAACTGCCTCATGTTCACCTGCAGAACACTAGTTTCCACCCATCACCATATACCTACCCCACGCCCCTTCCCTTCTGGTGACCACTACTTATTCTTAGAGTCTAAAATTTGTTATTGTCTTTTTAATTTTTTTTTTTAGATTTATTTATTCATGCATTCAAAAACCGGGGTAGAGGCCAGCTGTGTGGGAGGGTGAGAGGATTCACCAGAGACAAAGTGGGGAACAGTACAGGCAGATTGACTGAAATGCACTGCTGAGGGGAGCAGTGGGTAAGACAGGAGAGGTCTGCCGCGCCATGTGGGACCCTCGCCGGCCTGCCGGGATCAAACCCGCGCTGCAGAGGCTGCGGACAGCTTCACAGCGCTGCGCTCAACCGCCTGCGCCACCAGTGGAGGCCCAAATTTGTTTTTTTTAATTTACTTCATTTGTTTGTTTTCACTATTTATGTCTACATAAAAGTGAAATCATACAGTGTTTGCCTTTCCCCATCTGATTTAATTCATTAAGCATAATACCTTCTAGTTCCATCCATGTTGTTGCAAATGGCAGGATTTTATCTTTTTTATAGTTGAGTGCCACTCCATTGTGTATATTCATCAACGGGCAGTTTTTATAACACCTGATAAAATGTGAACACTAGCTAACCTGGGTTCTAAGCCAAACTCTGCCCTTGTAACCATCAAAAAAATGACTGTGACAGCTATTTTCAGACACCTAGTCTCCACCTGAATTCCACCAGTAAAGTTATAATTTTCCAAGGAAACTTCACTGTAACAGTTCTTTCTCATCCTGAGCAAAATGTGTCTGATGCATACTCCAAGCCTAGTCTCTAAGTCTCTGGAGGCACTGAAACAAGTCTCCCAGACCTCCAAATATTTGTGAGCAACTGCCACGCGCTTCTCTCATCTCCCCTGGGCCATTTCCTGGTGACATATTCTGGAGCCCCTGATTCTCCTGTCACTTTCTAATGGGCAAGGGAAGACTATCAACCACGACAAAAATCTGAATTCGGAGAGTGTTCTACGGTGAGCAGCCAAGTCACAGGACGCTATTGCCTCACTCTGAGCATTTGGCCTATAATTAGAAAACCACACACCTCACCTGACTTGAGAATGTTGGTTTTTCCTACTTGCACTACTGCTCTGTGGTTCCATATCTGGGGAAGTGTGTACTTTTTCCCCAGCAGGGTTTTCTTAAGAACTATTTATTGGAACCTGTTATGCAACTATAGATTGGAGAAAGAAAGATAAAGCAAGCTGGTCCCTGCCCTCACTGAGCTCCAGGTTATAGAGAGAACCCAATTCGTAACCAGACTACTAGAGTTCAGTGAGAAATGCCATGATAAAAGTAAATCGATTTTTTTTTTTTTTTTGGCCCATCTCTTCAACCCCGTGTGCAAATCTCCTACTTTTGGTTTCCTGGACTCAATTTCCCTTATTTCAAGCTCAAAGCGAAAAAGTGAAAAAAGACTGCAAGTGTCCAAGCGGCTCTTTTTGCAATCATAATTGAATTGGACATTCTCCTCTGACTAGTACACTCTGCTCATGGGCGCTCACTTCACTCTCATGTCCTCTGTCCTATTAGAGCTCAACACATCTGCATATGGAGCAGCATCACAAACGGATAATCTACCAAGTCAGGAAACCTGAGTCTTAGTCCTAATGTTTAGTCCTTGAGGCTGGCTGACTATGATAATCATATATGATAGATCACATAACACACTGTGCTTTCACTTCTGCTTCTGTGGAAACGCACTGTGGACTGGCTCCATGGGTCTGTGCGGACAGAGAGAACGCCTCAGAGACAGCAGAGCGTTATTCTTCTCAGTAGCCATGACCCAGCAAAAGCCCAACAAAGTAAGTGCTTTGGTGATCACTGAATGTATGCGTAGATGGATGTGGGAACTGCTATCCTTAGAGCAACAAGGATCATGGAATCAATCAACTATTTTTTTTTTTTAAGATTTATTTATTTATTTGTACAAGCATTGGGTACAGTCAGAAGCGCGGGAGGGTGAGAGAATTCACCAGAGCCAGAGCGGGGAGCAGAGCAGGAGAAGGACAGAAGTACATTGCTGAGGGGAGCAGCGGGCGGCAGGAGAGGTCTGAGCACCATGTGGGACCCTCACCTGGTGGCCGGGGATCGAACAGGTGCTGCAGAGGCTGCGGGCAGCTTTGCAACCCAGCGCTCAACCGCTGCGCCACCAGGGAGGCCCCAATCAACTATTTTTTAATGGCTCCTAAGCACACTGTAGAATAACCATGCAGAATGGTGTTTCATTCCCACTTTGCCCTTGTCTCCTTTCTTACTTAAAAAGAAGGGCCTTTGTAAGTCAAAGACTGTGTTGACACATAAACAATAAATAATGTTCTCTAGATAGGCTCTAAGTAGTCGTCAATATTATCAAGAGAAAAATCCAGTTGTCTTGAGGGTATTTTCTATCAATGCACCTTAGGAACCCCAAACTGCCGCCCCCCAACCATGGCACACAGGCCTTGACACCATACTTCAAGTTCATGGAGGGGAAACTGAAATGGAGTGAGTGGACAGGGAGACAGGAACCTAGGGAGCGCTCCCTGCTCAGCAGCCTCAGAGTGGACTGGTGGGCAGATGACTCGGTGGGAAAACCAAAGCCCCCCCGCCCACCGCCCCCAGCCACCAGGCTCCATGTGGACACGTGGTCATCAGTGACTAGGATTTTCTTTCTAGTAACAGGTTGCACTTTCACATGCTTTCTAACGTATCATGCCTAGCTAAAGGGTCACAAAAATATCATCCAATTCAATAAATATTTATAAAGTACCAGGTCCTACATAAGTTTAAGGATCACAAAAATGAAGAGCAAACAGCCTCAGGGCCCACACCCCATGGTTCCACCTAACCCTGAGCCGCTTGAGCTGAGTCCACAATGAACTCCTGCCACTTCTGCAATTTGGTTCCGCTCATATGTCTAGACTTCTTGAAGGTTATGTCATCTCCCTGATGAGACTTGAGCCTCCTGAGAATAGAAACCATTTTTAGAATTTTCCAGAGAGAAGCTACATCAGAGATTTGCATCACAATCTCGGCTCAGATCAAGCCCAAGCCTTCAACTCGATGATCTCCACCGCCTGGCACAGCACCTGGCTCCCTGCAGGTGCTCCACAAACTTGTAGTAGCAAAATCTACAGTCAACTGCCTAACAGGTTAATGCATGGATAATTTGAAAATTGAAAGGATAAGAATGATCAAATAAAAATAAAAACGGGTTTGACTCGTGCCTTTCCTCTTTCCCCCTCATAGGTGAAACGAAGCCATCCCACCTTCCCTCCCGCCTGCCTGAGGCTGCCGGGGAGGGCCTCCTTGTTAATCCTGACTTTGGTTCCCACATATATCACCCCACATCCAAACCCAGCCTTTTCTTTCTGGGAGCACATTTCCTAAAGTCTCTGGAATGAGTCAAGTCTATGAAGCGCCGGTCTTCCATAACCCTCACTGTTTACTCCTAGTACCGAAGCCGTAAGTTTCCCAAGCCTGCTGCCTGGGGGAGTCTGATGCTTAGATTCTGTTGCTTTCCCAAGCCTGATGCTTGGGGGAGTCTATCGCTTTGATTCTGCTGCTTGCTGAAGTGAAAAAGCTGCTGGGTGTCCTGCACTGTTTGTCTGAGGTGGTAGCCATGGCTACCTTGAACCCCCTTCAAACAATAAAGAATGCTTATGCTACGATGGATGGGATAGCAAGTTGCCTCGTACAAACTGTATAAAACCCTGCCATTTGTTCTTGGGGGCTCTGCCCTTTGGGGAGCGATCCCACTGAGCCCGCCGTTGTGACAAATAAATCTTTCTCCACCCCTCTGAGTGCTATCTGATTTCTCTGGGAAATTGCTGAACTGTATTACCTTCTCCTTAAGCTTTGGGCTGTTTTCAAACAAGGTCTGGAGTCAAAAATCACTATGCCTTCCCCTCTGTGATTCCTGTGCTTCTCAAATCCTCTGAAGCCCTGAGGGTTGTCCAACCCAGTTCCCTCTTCCTTTCGGCTAGAGCAGCTAAGACACAGTCATCTCCTGAGGAGCAAGGAAGTTAGTTTCACGGGTCTAGGGGTAGAAAGAACAGCCTCCCCTCCTTGATCTTCCCTGCTCCCCACCTTCTGGGACCACAGAATTGGAGTAGATTGTAAACAGAGTGGGGCAGGGCCACTTCCCAAGCAACTACGCTGGTATCGCCCATACTGTGCCAACGACAGGAAGACAGAGGTGAAACAGACCATGTCATCCTCTCTTCTGCCAATCCATGGTGCTTACTTTCCTGCCAGATATTAACCAAGAAAGTGTCCCTGATATGTATAAGGAAATACAAACAAGAAAAAAGACTTGGGGGGAAAATCATTACATTCTGGAGGGCAGAGAGGCAGATAAAAGGGGAGGGAACGAGTTCAGCTGCCAAGTCACAATCACCTTCTTAAGTTCTTGAGAAGGCTTTGTTTCTTTTGTTTGGCCAGTTTCACCTCCCAGATTCCCGTAAAGTGCGTGGTCCAACCTGCTACTTCACAAAGCTGGGCCACCTAATTGTTCTCATCCTCCAAGGGGACACTGGGCTGGGATTAAAGTGTCAAGCACCAAGTGCGGAGTCCCAGGGCCTGAGCTGTCCCAAGAAGACGGGGAGCCTCTGCCTGGGAACCTGCCACACACTCTTCAGGCAACTTACAGCAGCACCACAGTCGTCATGAGAGTTCTATTGGCTTCCTTCCTTCTGTTGCTGCCACTAATGCTGATGTCCGTGGTCTCTAGCAGCCCAAACTCAGGTAAAAAAAAAAATAATAATAATAATCTTCTACAAAGAGGGAAGGGGGGAGAAAATGTGACAAGACAGAAAAGAAAATGTGGTCCTAAGTATACATTAAAATGCAGCCCCCCCCTTTTTTTTTTTTAATTTTTTTATTTTATTTTTTTTTTATAGAGGCATGCTTTATTTATTTGTTTGCTGGTTTGTTTGTTTTGTTTATACATGCACTGGGTACAGTCAGAAGCGCAGAAGGGTGAGAGAATTCACCAGAGCCAGAGCGGGGAGCAGAGCAGGCAGAAGGACCGAAGTACACTGCTGAGGGAAGCAGCGGGCGGCAGGAGAGGTCTGCGCGCCATGTGGGACCCTCCTCTGGTGGCCAGGGAGCAGCCGGGGATCGAACCGGCGCCGCAGAGGCCGCGGGCAGCTTCGCAACCCAGCGCTCAACCGCTGCGCCACCGGGGAGGCCCCGCCCCCCCTTTTTTTTTTTTAAAGATTTATTTGTTCATGCATACAAGTACCAAGGTACAGGCCAGATGCGCGGGAGGGTGAGAGGATTCACCAGCGACAGAGCGGGGAGCAGAACAGGCAGACTGACGAAATACACTGCTGAGGGGAGCAGCCGGCAAGACAGAAGAGGTCTGCCGTGCCATGTGGGATTCTCACCGGCAGGCCAGGATTGAACCCACGCTGCAGAGGCTGCGGACAGCCTCACAGCACTGCGCTCAACCGCCTGTGCCACCAGGGAAGGCCCCAAAATGCAGCCCCTTTTAGCTACAGGGATTTGGAGCAAGTTAGTCTATCTGAGTGCCCATTACCTTTTACAAAAAAAGAGAAAACTGTGCATGTATCCAGAGTGTTGTGAAGTTAAATGAGACAGTGTGTGTGAAGCTATCTGAAGCTAGAGCTGGGGAAAAAATGCTGGCTCAACAAAGATGTGTACTTTGCCTTCTCCCCCCAGTCCCTCTTCAGAAGAGTAAGAAATTTCCCCAGGGTCAGTCTTGGCGGGGGTGGTGGGAGGGTGTTGAAGGCAACTAGACATTTGTAGAAAATAAGGAAGTCCTTGCTTATATTCTCTATAATGCATCAGCCTGCCACAATTTTTTTTTTAAGATTTATTTATTTATTTATACAAGCACTAGGTACAGTCAGAAGCGCAGGAGGGTGAGAGAATTCACCAGAGCCAGAGTGGAGAGCAGAACAGGCAGACAGACAAATTACACTGCTGAGGGGAGCAGCGGGCGGCAGGAGAGGTCTGCACGCCATGTGGGACCCTTACCAGCGGCAGGGGATCGAACCAGTGTTGCAGAGACTGCGGGCAGCTTCGCAACTCAGCACTCAACCACTGTGCCACCAGGGAGGCCCAGCCTGCCACAATTTTTAATGTTATTCAGTGGTAAAAATAATAAACAAAAAAATCCTATCACCAGATAGTGTCCATATTTGAAGCTGTAGCCATACCAATTCCTGTTTTAACAGCCTACCATTTGGGAACAAGCCTTGGGTATAACAGGAGCCCAAAATTGGTTCCAGTTTTTACTATGGGGGAAGTAGTCCAGTCCCGCAGAAGAGCCATGCAGGAGAGACTTGTCCCCATGTATGCTTCCACTTGAGAGAAACACTAGACCTCTCCAAGGGCTGCTGTGAAGTGAAACAGCCTTGTTACATGTTTAGGACCAGTTTAGTCCTAAAATGAGAAGTTTATGCTACTCCACCCCAGTTTCCAACTTCCCTTCCCTGGAAGCTCTCTGGAGGCTGCTAGGACCCCAAAGCCCCAGGACCTAGACCACCACTCTGCAAGGGACAGGTGTCTGCATCACCATGGTAGACACCAGGGCTAGCGCTTTCAGCCTGGATTCAGCTCTAGGCACACCCCTGCCGCTTGTGTCAGTGGCTGCCACTCGCTGACAATGCTCTGTGCTCACCTTGATTAGACAATTGGCTGTCCCCTGAGCAGCCTATGCTTTTCAACCAGCTCAACTTAGTTCATACACCCAGCTCAAAACCTTCTCCTCACAGCCTCCCTTGATTCCTCCCAAGTGCAGACTGGAGCTCTCCCTCAGTGAACATTTAGCCCTAATTTGACTCTGTCTCTTTGCACTTTTCCTATTTTGCCTTATGTTGCCCTTCTAGAAGCTAACTTCCTTGGTGGCACAATCAGCTGCCCCGTTCCCATAATGCTCACACTTTCCTTAAGGGTTCTCAGCAAATATTTGCTACGTGAAAGAAAAAACCTTCAAGTTCTAGGGTCAAAATGTTGTCCTTTGAGGACTTTACACCAGGGTTTAATAACAGCTCTGTTGACATTTGGGGCTGGGTAATTCTTTGTTGTAGGGGTTGTTTTGTGCATTGTAAGATGCTTAGCAGCATCATGTGGCCTCTACCCACTAGATGCCATTATCAGCCTCTCCATGTCCAACACCCCCCTGTTAAAACAGCCAAAAATATCTCCAGACATTGCCAAGTGTGCCCTTGAGGGAACCCTCTTCTCTAGAGCAGTGGCTCTCAAACCTGGCTCCGCATCTAGACTCACCTAGACCTTTAGACGAAGCCTTGAAGTCAGTGAGACACAGATTCAACTCCTGCTCGGCCACCTATTTTGAGATCCTGACAAGGTGCTTAACTTTTTAGCCCTACTTTTACCATCTTTTTTTTTTTTTAAGATTTATTTATTTATGCATATAAGAACTGGGGTACAGGCCAGAGTTGTGGGGTGGGGGGTGAGAGGATTCACCAGAGACAGAGTGGGGAACAGAACAGGCAGATTGACTGAAACACACTGCTGAGGGGAGCAGCGGGGAGACAGGAGAGGTCTGCTGCACCATGTGGGTAGCTCCCTGGCCAGCCGGGGATCGAACTCATGCTACAGTGGCTGCGGACAGCTTCATGGGTTGCATCTTAACCCCTTGTGCAACCAGGGAGGCCCTAGTTTTACCATTTTAAGAAGAATAAAATACCACTGAGCACACAGAACCATCGTGAAGATTAGATAAAATGTGCAGCTACTATGAGTCCAACAAAGTACTGCATAAAATTTCCAAACTCCTAAAGCGACAAGACCAGCAAATTGGGAAAAGCGCACTGTGCCACCAGGTGGTGCTATTACAAACCACAGCGAGTCGGTGGTGGCCAGACACCAGTCTCGTTTCCCAGCAGGCAGTTTTGCAATGCAGGGTTAAATGTGCCTAGAGGAATATGACACCCCAAGCCCCCCTCCAAAAATTCTCAAAATAAGATATGATCTTTTAAATTTTTAGCTTTTCACTTTTCAAACTATCAAAAATGCCGTAAAAACTATCAATGTTCTGTTGTGTCCTTCACCCAGTTGTTTTGGTTTTATTTTTTAAGAGTTCTTAATAAAGTGACACATAGTGTGACAAAAAAAAAAAAAAGATCATTTATGCATACAAGAACTGGGATGTAGGCCAGAGATGAGAGGATTCACCAGAGACAGAGTGATCTGCAGAACAGGTGAATCTACTGAAATACCCTGCTGAGGGGAGCAGCGGGTGAGACATGAGAGGTCTGCTGCACCATGTGGGTTAACTCCCTGGCTGGGGATAAAACCCGTGTTGCAGCAACTGAGGACAGCTTCATAGTGCTGCGACTTAACCCCCTGCACCACCAGGGAGGCCCCATAAAACTGTTAACTTTTAACCCAATAATTTCACTTTGGGAAATCTTGTCCAAGAAAATAATCCAAAATGTAGAAAGCAATTTCAAGCTCAAAGAAATCTGTCAATATCCAAAAATAAAACAATTGAATATTTAGAACAGTTAAATAATTTGGGACATCCCAAATGCTTATAAAGTGAGCAAAAAGAGGGCCTCCCTGATGGCACAAGGGGTAAAGTGTCAGCACTATGAAGCTATCAGCAGTCACTGCAGCACGAGTTCGATCCCCAGCCAGGAAGTTAACTCACATGGCACAGCAGACCTCTCCTGTCTCGCCTGCTACTCCCCTCAGCAGTGTATTTTAGCCAATCTGCCTGTTCTGCTCCCTACTCTGTCTCTGGCGAATCCTCTCACCCCCTCCACTCTATCCTACATCCCAGCTCTAACATGCATAAAATAAAGGGAAAAAAGCTTAGGGGCCTCCTTGGTGGCAGAAGGGTTAAAAAGAGCTCTATCAAGCTACTGCCAGCCACTGCAGCATGAGTTCGATGCCCTGCTGGCCAAGAGCAACCCACATGGCGCAGCAGACCTCTCCTGTCTCGCCCTCTGCTCCCCTCAGCAGGGCATATTCAGCAGATCTGCCTGTTCTGCTCTCCACCCTCTCTGGTGAATCCTCTCACCCACACCCGCATCTCTGGTCTACACCCCAGTTCTTGTATGCATAAATAAATAAATCTTAAAAAAAAGTTTAAGGTGAGCAAAAAGACATTTGCTCACATACTATGGTATAACTCTATAAAGAAAAGCATACAAAGGAAATACACCAAAATGCCAATGATTATTAAGAGTAAAGATTTTTTTATTTGTACTTTCCAGATTGCATCTAATATAATTATATTACATTTAGGAGGGGGAAAATCCCAATGAAAAGGATTCAAATAATGATCTCCAAGATGTCTTCTGGCTCTAATATTTTGTGGCTTTTCTCTGAAATGAGTGTAGAGGTCAAGTGAGAGTAAAATATTAGAAAAGTTTAGATGGCAGGGGTTATGCCTTTTTAAGTTATTTTTACAGAGCTCAAAAGAGCACATGAGATTATTTGGAAAGTAATACTTGGGGAAATGATGCAACACCCTCCATCTGTGTGGCAGAAAGGGCAGAATCTGGGAAATAGGAGATCTGGATTGAATCAGACTGTTCCTAAGGGCCCACTCTAAACAATATGCCCATATACTTATTGAGCAAACATTTACCAAATGCCTGTCATGTGGCAGGAACCCTGTAGTTGAATGACTACTAAGCCATTGGTTCAGAGTGCAGTGAAAGAGAAAGATTTTTTTTTTTTTTGTCTGCAAAGGCTGCCATAATAAATAGCACACATTGGATAGCTTCAACAACCGAAATTTATTTTCTCAACAGTTCTGGAAGCTGAAAGTAAAGTCAAGATGTCAGCAGTTTGGATTGATTCTGAGGTCTCTCTCCTTGGCTTGTAGATTGCCACCTTCTTGCTCTAGACTCACGACCATTCTTCTGTGCATGTACATCCCTGGTGTCTCTTTTTGTGCCTAAATCTCTCTTCTTGCAAGAATTCCAGTCAGAGAGTATTATGGCCCACCAGAATGGCTTCATTTTAACTTTACCACCTCTTTAAAAGCTCTATCTCCAAATCCAGTAATTCTGAGTTACTGGAAGTTAAGGCTTCAACATGAATTTGGGTGGACACAATTCAGTCCACAATAGATTTCAAACAATAAACTATAAGTTAATTTACAGAGCAGTAACAGAGGTGCAGTCACACATAATGAGGAACTATGTGAAAGTATAATTCATTCTGACAGGAAATACCAGAAATGACTATCAAAGAAAGCATCATCTGGGCTCAGTTCTAGCTCCAGACTCTCAACTCTAAACCATCATCCTTGATTGTCATAAGTATATTTTATCATAAAATAGGAATAAGACAGGATCAAATGATAAGACATATTTGAATAGAGGCCAGAAAAATTGTTCTAGAGGAACAAAGGTAAATATCATCCTCTGATAGTTGAAATGGGATTATGGATTCAAATAGCAGACTTGGAGATCAGGTGAAGAACCTGACTGGTTTATAGATAATCTGCGACTAGCTCTTATTCCTTAAATCATGAGGACTTTAATCGGGGGGTGGGAGGGTGGTAATAACCGCTAGCTTTTGTCCTTGTTTCCATCCAGAGCCCATTCTTTCTCTACCAAGCGCCAGCTAAGGTTTTCTCTAGGCCAGATTTTAAAACTCAATTCCTTATCAGTTTAAAATACTCCTGTCTTAAAGTATCCTAAATCTCTGAGGAGAGAGAGAGGGGGGCGGGAAGAGAGAGAAAATTATGGTAACCCAGGTAGCACAATGCTGGGGAACCATTTCTGTTGGCCCCTCCTTTTACTAGTGCCTGGAAGTGAACTGTTTCCTTCCAACAGGGGTCGCCAGAGGTCACAGGGACCAAAGCCAGGCTTCTGGAAGACGACTCCAGGAAGGCAGCCACGAATGTGAATGCAAAGGTCAGTAACTCGGTATCAACAATACTGATGTACCATCACGAACCCATCTCTCTCCCGAGTTCCAGAGACCAGTGCCAATAATTCGGCAGCTGCCCTCATCCATTCCCCCCTCTACCAGCCCACCATGAGCAACACCAGTGTTTATTACTTCCTGAGTCTTAGGCAAGTGCTGATTGATCGCCATCATCCAGGGGAAAGCTAATTGACTTTTCTGTCTGCCACCCACTCCCCCTTTTAGGAACCAAGGGCTGCCCTCCAAAAGCTTCCTAGATCCTATTCTCGACCTTATTTTACCCATAGGTAAGGCTGAAATCAAGAAAAGCAAAATGACTTAAACAAGGTAAAGCACCACTAAAAGACAAACACCTAGGTCTTATCCCTCTTTTTAATTAAAGTCAGGTCTAGAGGAGCAAGGAATTAGAGGTATTGTCAGAACCAATGTTTGTAATTCTATAATGCAGACTATGACACAGAATATTAATAATATCAGTGAGAATGAATAAACAAGTAACAACGTAAATGCCTCCTCCAAACCTTCCACCAAATTCTTGCCCATAAAGGTCAGGCAAACAACTCAGCAATTTCCAGACACTTCTGTGACTGGAAACTCCCACTGTTCTGGGCTGACCCTTTTCCCTAAGCCATTGCAATATGCAAAAGTAGTTGTAAGGCACGTAAGCCCTGCCTACTACTTACCCTCAAGTATATTAATCCTCCCATCTAAGCAGTAACCCTGTTATTTCAGATTTACTCCTGAGAGCCCCTAAAAGGAAACTCATCACAGTCCCTGGACTGAAGCAGTGTCCCTGCGATCATTTCAAGAGCAATGTGAAGAAAACCCGTAAGTTTTAAAAGAATGATCTTCCTTGAACCAGAGAAATTCTGTGGAATCAACTAGAATGAAGTAGGGTTTGAGAAAAGACAAGAGAGGTGAAATGAAGAGCAGGATAAACACATCTTGGCCCTATCTACTCAATGTCAACTTGGGGGAAATAAGAAAAACAAAGAAAGCATGACAAGATTCTCCTTATACTAGAAAAGTTTAACCAAACACTTAGATTTTAGAACCCCACTGCTTATCAAAGTAGAGGGAGATGGGGCTGTTGGGGACCTAATCATTGATTTCTAAAGATGCCATCAGTGTCAGAGTCAAATAGAATTTGATTTCTCTCTAGTCCAGCAGTTTTAAAATGTCATAGAAAAAACTCAATTAGCAAATATGAAACCAATTAATATGCTACTAAGAATAGAATAAATCATACAAAGGAAATATTGGATGTTACACATGTATGAGTAAAACAAGGAAACAGCACATGAATTGACAAATCAAAATACTTATAAAAACATTAATAAATGAAATGAGGTTCCTGAGGTTAAAGAGAAGAGGAGAGGGAGAAAGTCTGAGAGGGTGAAAGGGATATAAGGGACAATAGGGGAAGAAAGGTACACAAGGAAATAAAACAATTATTTTCTTTGGATTCCTGAAACATGGGTCAATAAAGTCAGGTCTGGAGAAGCAAGGAATTAAAGATATTGTTAGAAAGAGAAAAAATAATAGGAGGCAGAAAATAATAGGGTATTAAGAAAAAAAAGAAGGAATAAGTCAGGGTCCTTATCATTGAGAACAGAAATAAAATACCATTTGAGGGCCTCCCTGATGGCACAAGGGGTTAAGATACAACCTACCCAGCTATTCACAGCCACTGCAGCACAAGTTCAATTCCCGGCCAGGGAGCTACCCACATGGCGCAGCAGTGTATTTCAGTCAGTCTCCCTGTTCTGTTCCCCACTGTCTCTGATGAATGCTCACCCCCACACCTCTGGCCTGTACCCCAGTTCTTGTATGTATAAATAAATCTTTAAAAAAATAAAATAAAATACCATTTGATAGCACCTATCAGAATGTTATATGTGTACCTTTTAACCCAGTAATCTCACTTCAAAAAATCACTAGTGTAGTGGGTCTCCCTGGTGGCGCAATGGGTTAAAGTCTGAGTGCTGTCAAGCTATCGCCAGCCACTGCAGCACAAGTTCAATCCTCCGCCAGGGAGCTGATCAACATGGTGCAGTAGACCTCTCCTGTCTCGCCTGCTGCTTCCCTCAGCAGTGAATTTCAGTAGATCCGCCTGTTCTGCTCCCCACTGTGTCTCTGGTGAATCCTCTTACCCCCCACACCTCTGGCTATATCCCTGTTCTTGTATGCATAAATAAATAAATCTTTAAAAAAAATCACTAGTGTGGAATACCAAAATGGATAATCAAAGATATATGCACAATATTAATTATAGCAATACTTATGGTGAGAAATAGATGGAAATTTAAAATGGTCATCATTAACTAAACTTAATATGGTGATCATTTTGCAGTATATACAAATACTGAATCATTATGTTGTACAATTAAAACAAATGTGTTTCTTGTCAACTATTTACAATAGTTAATCAAAAACAAATTTGACAATTCTGCAGTTGTCAAAAATAATAAGGTAAAAATAAGGTAAATTGGGCCTCCCCGGTGGCGCAGCGGTTGAGCGCTGGGTTGCGAAGCTAACCGGCCTCTGCAGCGCCAGTTCGATCCCCGGCTGCTCCCCGGCCACCGGAGGAGGGTCCCACATGGCGCGCAGACCTCTCCTGCCGCCCGCTGCTCCCCTCAGCAGTGTACTTCAGTCCTTCTGCCTGCTCTGCTCCCCGCTCTGGCTCTGGTGAATTCTCTCACCCTCCTGCGCTTCTGACTGTACCCAGTGCATGTATAAACAAAACAAACAAACAAATAAATAAATAACATGCCTCTATAAAAAAAAAAAAAATTTAAAAAAAAAAAAAAAAAAATTAAAATAAAAATAAAAAAAAAAAATAAGGTAAATTATGTACCTATTGGAAAGATTGCCACAATATATTAAGTGAAGGAAAGATTCAGACACCACCTACTTCACACTCTTCACAAAAATTAATTTTAGGTGAGTTTAACATCTAAAATATGAAAGACAAACTTGTAAGGGAATATAGGACAATACAGCATTGATCTTGGGATAGTAAAGGATTTCTTAAACAAGAAACAAAAAGTATAAGCCATGAGGGAAAAGAGTAGTAAGCCTGACTTCAGTGAAATTAAAGAATTCTGGTCATCAAAACAGTAATATGACAATATAGAGAATAAGAAATGACAGCAGCACCACATATAACTAATAAAAAACTAATATATTCTGAATATATAAAGAATGCCTATAGATCAATGTGAGGCAGGCAGGCAGAGCGGAAATGACACTTTAGAGACAGGAAATCCTCCCCCACACAAAATCCATAAATGACATAATATTTGCATATTACCTACACACACTCTCAGATAGCACTTTAAATCATCTCCAGAATTCTTATATTACCTAATGCAATATAAATGCTACATAAATAGTTGTTATACTACATAATTTAGGGACTAATGACAAGGAAAAAGTATGTATACATGTTCCATACAGATATGCAATTGCAGGCCTATCTACTAACATCTGTGGTTAGCTCAATCCTAGGAAGTAGAACTGGTGAATATGAAGGACCTCCTGTATTCAAAAGGAAGGCATGCTTACTTACACCAGGAACGCATACAAGAGTTTCATAGCAACACTGCTCATAACTACCCCAAACTGAAAACTGATCATTGAATCAATTAGAGAGGGAAATATTTGAATATTACATAACAGAATATTACATATAATTTAGAATATATAGAATATTATCTAGAATATTAATAGGTATCAGTGAGAATGAACAAACACGTAACAATGTAAATGAATCTTACAACCATAACATTGAGTGAAAAAATTCAACATATAAGAGAAAAACTACAGTACGATCTCATGTACATAAAGCTCAAAAACAGGCCAAATTACATACTAAATTATTTGAGAATATAGATGTAGGTGGTAAACAAAAAATAAAGTAAAATCTTGCTATAAAAATCAGAGGGGGAGAGGGAGGAGAGCAATCAGAGAAGGGGTTCCTGGCAGGTCTGAGTAGTAATTCTAGGTCTGAGTAGTAATTTCACGTATATCTGCTTTACTGAAGATACGTGATATATTTACTGAACTATATGTGTATATATATCTTTAGGGCCTTCTATAGATATATACTTTTCAATAATAAAAGATGTGTTAAAGGTTCAGAGCAAAGCAATATGTCTACCGTAATCTTAATTTTGTTTTTTAAAGTAAATTATGTTTTCATACAAAAAGGATGGGAGACTATGTAGCAAAGCATTAACAGTACTTAGCTCTGGGGAATGGGGAGTGGAGATGTCCTTTTACTTTTTACTAGAGATTTTTTTAATTTTAATTTTTTTCTCTGGACAATTCTTACAGTTATAATTTTAAAGGCTCTCATAAAAATTAAATTTTAAAAATGTGTTTAACACTAGTCTCTCCCCTTTATTTTTACCCTAGGCCACCAACATCACCACAGGAAGCCAAACAGGCATTCCAAAGCCTGCCAGCAATTCATCAAACAGTGTCAGCTAGCGAGCTTATCTCTGCCTTTATAGGAGCTCTGAGAGCCCATTCTCCCAATTAACCATTCTGTTAAGAAGGCAGTGAACACACCTCGAGGATGCTGTTTTCTGATCTCAAGCTCCATCTCTCGGCCCCCACTCCCTAAATCAATCCATGTTCTCAAAAAGTATTTCCCCTAAGATCGCTGTTCCTCCTAGTGCCTTCTCTATTGTCAGTCCTGTGTCCTCCCCTTACCCAGGTGCCAGGTTAATTATCTAAAGAAAGCAGGAAGCGGGCCTCCCCGGTGGCGCAGCAGTTGAGCGCTGGGTTGCGAAGCTGCCTGCGGCCTCTGCGGCGCTGGTTCGATCCCTGGCTGCTCCCCGGCCACCAGAGGAGGGTCCCACATGGCGCGCAGACCTCTCCTGCCGCCCGCTGCTCCCCTCAGCAGTGTACCTCGGTCCTTCTGCCTGCTCTGCTCCCCGCTCTGGCTCTGGTGAATTCCCTCGCCCTCCCGCGCTTCTGACTGTACCCAGTGCATGTATAAACAAAACGAACAAACAAACAAATAAATAAATAAAGCATGCCTCTATTTAAAAAAAAAAAAAAAGCAGGAAGCAGGGGTTACCGAGTTGGTCCCACCTAACCGACAAGCAGGCACGTAGCTAGCAGAAGTCAATAAACATCTTTAAATGTGACAGGTAAAGATCGTTTCTTTGAAAGGGGTCTGGCAGCCCACATTCATTCCAGATGACTCATTTTGTTCTCACCAAACACCACTCAATCCAGAGCCCACATACATTTCTCACAGCCACCTTTCTTACTCTCTCCCCGCCTCCGTCCGCCCAACTTTTTATTCTTTTATTTATTCAGCAAACATTTCTGTGGTAGGAGGTACACGGGGTAAAGAAAGCAGTTACAGCAATGACTCAGACATGGTCTTATGAACGATAGTATGGTTTTTTAAACTGGCATAGAACACTTTCAGTATTTATGATTAGTATTAATCATATTCATCATCATTAATGGTCACTGTTTTCTGTAAGTTTCCAATCTAGCACATATACATAGAACTGTAGGTTCGGGGCTAGAGAGATGGTGTGGAAGATCCCAAATGCCACTTTCACAGCTTCAAGCTGTAAAAATGGGAGGATGCCTCTTTTCAACGTGGGAATGAAATGATCAAAATGATAATATAAGGAAATTAAACTGGCAACCACTGGAATGAATGAATAAAGAGGAAAAAATTATTACAACAGTATAGATCCCACCTTCCCCTCTGATACTTTTCGCAAACATCAGGGGAAAGAAAAGGAACATTCCTCCAGAATTTGGCTTCTGTCACTTCAGATGAAATAGACCAATTCCAGATGCTTGCCTTTTGAGAAGAAAAATTTTAAGTGAGTGTGAGTGGGGTGGGGTCCTATTTATGACACAAGAGGCAGAGCCCCTCCCCTCTGGTAGGAGAGTGCTGGACTCACAGCCTCCTCCTGTTCCTAAGCCCTGCTCCCACAGCAGGAGGTACCGAGGTACAACACTTGGCCCAGGAGTGGGGGTCAGCAGTGGTCAGCCCACTAACCAATTGCCTTTAAAAAAAGGAAGGCCGGGGATGCCAGAATGAAGGCAAGAAACCCAAAGGGAGATGCCATCATGAGGAGTCAATGAGGGACCTGTGACCAAGGAGGCCAGAGGGAGGAAGGGTCAGAAGGATGAATTCTGGAAGATCATCTCCTGTGAGTGAAGTAACAACAGTTCAGCCAGGTTCTAAGTCAGTGTCTAGGCCTCACAGGGAAGGTGAACCACAACAGATACCCATCACCCAGCCAGAGCCTGGGCCAGAACAGACACCCGCAGCCCCATCAGCATCTAAGACTCAGCAGGGACCTGATACCAAACAGGAGCCTGCTTCACAGCAAAGACCCCTCACTCAGCAAGAGGCCCCTGCCCACCACGAAGCTGAATCCCAACAGGAACCAAGAGCTCAACCAAAATCTGCTTCACAGCAGAAAACTCTTGCCCCACAGGAATCTGCACCACAGCTATCACCTCCCATCCAAGGGGTGCCCTTCGCTGAACAGGAAGCTGTCTCACAGGGGCCTCTGCCAGGAAGGCAATCTAGAATTCAACAGGAGCCAGAATCTAGAAAGGGATACGTTGCCCACCCAAGACCTGATCCAGTAGAGCCAACTCAACAAGAAGCTGGATCGACACCTGCAGTCCAGCCTACACCTGGACCCGAAAAGGAACCACCTTCCCAGACCATATCAACCACTCGAGAGAAGCCAGGACAGTCAGACGCTGTAGTCCAGCAAACAGCCCTAGCCCAGGAAGCCACATGCCAGCAAGGATCTTTGACTGAGAGGGAATTTCTATCAAAATGGCATGCACGATATACACCACCACGGGACCCAGAGTGGAAGACATTTTTTGAGTGGGTCACAGATGCTGACTCAGAATCAGATAGGAGGTCTCCACTAGAGACCCATTCACCAGTCCTGTGGGGTAACACAGAGGCCCCAGAAATGAAGCTGACAGAATTCAAGGAGACATCTGGCTCTGAAGCGATGTCAGGCTGTGATGGAACATCAGTCCACAGGAAGAAAATCAGCCTGAAGAATCCCAGACACCACCGAGACACAGGTGAGTTTGAATCTGAGAGGGACAGTCATTCCCCCCATGAAGCACTAAGACCTTCAAGCCATGGCAGGGTAGCCCTGCCATGTCCTGAGTCCAAAGTCAACAGTCCCATTTGTTAGGTGATGAAGTGAAGACTTAGAAAAGTGAAGGCACTAACAAGATTTATTTACATACGTAGTGGAAACAGGGAGAACCCAGGAAGAATATATAGGCCAGGTAGCTTCTGCTGAGCAGAGACCCAGGTCCAAGCCAAAGCCACACACAGTAGCCTAGCAGCTCCACACCCTACTGGGTGGCGGCAGTTTATGGCACCTGGAGTTCTACTGCCAAAGCCCTAGGGCATCCTCCCCACCAGCTGTTAACTCCCAAAAGCCCCAGCTCTGCTCCTTTTCCCATCAGTGGGCACTTAGGGTGTGGACTCTGGAAAGTTCCACCTTCTACCATGGAACCGCCATGAGCGCCACCCACAGGTCAGGAGATTGCTCCTCACTGTTCTCTTAGGATTCTTCCCTGGCCGAGGACCTGGGAGAAACCAAAGGACAGTAGGAAAGAGCAAAGGGCCACAGGCCAGGAACCCTGGGTGCTGCCCTCCTGCCACTGTTTATCTGACCCTCCCTGAATTCGCTGGGCACTGCCCCTGCGCACACTCGCAGGCACCAGTCCCCTGATGCTGAAGGTGGCGCTTACCCTCCTGAAGTCTCCATCCTGACGGCAGAAAGTCAAGGCCTTCACGATCCTCAAGCTCATGCGCTAGGCCCCCTGGGCGGGCACGGGGTGCAGGCACCAGCCCCGGGGTGGTCAAGCCCGGTTCTCCTCCTCCTCCTCTTGTAGGCGCGAATGCCCTGCCATACCGATAGGGCAGGCCGGTTTCTCCTTGGAATGAGGGGTTACTTGTGGAAGTAGCCTGAGAGAAAAGTCAGTGGCCCCCAATCAGAAGTGCGGGTAGGCCCGTGAGTCTCAAGGCTGGCAATGATGGCGTCAGCCAGAGGCCTGCCAGCCGGGGTGTGAGGGCGGCTGCCACTCTGTGGAGAAGAGGGATTATTAGTGTCTCAGTGCCAAGGCCGGTGGACTTCTAAGAGACAGACATTATGGGAAAAGGAGTTCCAGGTCTGCTCTAACCCGCGCAGAGGCTTCGCTAGGCCGTCAAAAGCCCGCCGCAAATAAAACCCTCGTCACGCTCGGGGTCCACGAGGCCGTGAGCATGCGCCCTGGAGGGCTGTGCGCATGCGCACGCGAGCCTCTGCTGTTTCCCGCCTTTTCCCGGGCACGCGCCGCCGCTCTCCCCTGAGGAGCCGCCGGCGACTTGGAGCTAGTGCGCCGGCGCTGAGCATTCTCCTCCCGCCCCCGCCCCCCAGCCTTCCTCTCAAGCGGGGGAGGGAAAAGGCGGGGGAAAAGAGCAGTAAGATAACTCCGAGACACTAGGCGAGGAGAAGGTGGGCTTCCACCCAACGGCTTGCAGAGCGCCACGCCCCAGCGCCCGCCCGCCCCGGCCTTCAATTGCTCGAGGACCTGGCGCATCCTTCCCCTCCCGGCGGAGGCTCGCCGGCGCCCCGCTCTGCCCCGCTCCAGCGGGCGCGCCAGGTCGCGTTCTAGGGGATCCCTGCGTGGGAAGGTGAGTGTGAAGGCAAAGCGGAGCCCCAACACGCGAGAAGATGGAGGCTTCCCTGTACAGTTGACCTCCCTCCTCCCGCGCGATGCCCCACTTGTCCTGCCCGAAGGACGCTTTTCGCCGCCTCTGGGGCTGCATTTTTTTGGTGGGTGGCGGGCCCTTTAATGCCCGCGGGGGGCGGGGCCAGGCCCTAGGCCCTAGCGGTTAGGGGCGGGGCCAGGCGGTCGGTCGGGCTGGCGAGCACCCGGCCGCCGGGGGGCGGGGCCCAGGGCGGTGCGGCCGCGGGATTGGGCCGCATGGGGGCTCGGCGGTGGCGCTGGCGCTGGCGGTGGCGGGGCTGGCGACTGCGGCGGCCCCGGCGCGGACACCGCGGAGACCTGATGGAGTCGGCCCCGGGAACGCGGCCCGCCGAGGCCCCGGTCTCGAAGAGGGTGAAAGAGGGGTCCAAGAGACGTCACCCCCGCCTTTGGCGAAAAGTCAAGGCCAAAGGTGAGCGCGCTTGGGGCTGCCGGAAGGAACCTTCAACATCCTGCGGGGAGCCGGGGACTGAATGGACCCACCCACTGCCACGAGGAGTGGGGGGCCGTGGGCTGGCCCGTGGCGGCGCTGCGGGGCTTGCGGGGTGATCCATTGTGAGAAGGGGGTGATGTGAGGGCGGAATAACCCCTCTGGGCAGAGGGACGACCCGAAGCCCCTGTGCTGCCTTGGGAGTGGAGCCGGGAGTTTCCTGGACCAGGGTGCCCGCTCGGACTTCATCCTCGCTGTGTGACCGTGGGCAACATCAGTGTGTCCCACATGGGGAATGATCCCAGCGTAGTTTATCATCCTCCAGCACTTGAGAGAATAATGAAGTGGTTTAGGTCTGTCTCACAGGGGCAGTTTAGGGGTGAGTCAGGGACAGGTAGGAGGAAGGGGTGCCCTGGGGCGGGAGGGGGTGTGTGTGCAGCAGAGCCAGTACAAATCGGAAAAGTCTAGTCTTTCCTTTATTTATTCAGTCCATTTGCCATTTACTGTCAGTCCACCTGCCTCAACCCAACTACCCTGGGGCCTAACTTCCTGAACCCCCCCCCACTCCCCGGAGCTGGCTTTGGGCCACCATGTGTCCCTTGGAAAAGATGGGAGGGCTGTTACTTAGGCTCCCCAGGGTGCCCAGTTATTTACAGATCTCAACAGGCTGGAGAAAGACTGACAGCTGCCTTAAGCCTTAGGCAGGGTCACACATTAAGTCCTTGCTTGGTTTTGAATACTTAGTCAATCTAAGTGAGAACCAGTGGGAGTTCCTGGGTAGGAAACAAACTGATATAGAGCCAGGGCCCAGAGACCCCAAACTCAGCATTCTCCCTGTCAATGGCTGTGTAATTAACCAAGGATTACATTGAACTTGGTTCCAACAAACTAGACAGGGCTCCCAGCTCAGACTGGGGCCTCAGGGCATTCATGACAAGACACAGCCTAAGTGGCAGGACCGTGCCCAGAGGTAGTACAGACCTTGGTTAAAATAAGGTCTTTGGAGACCTGTCCCTCAGGCTAGGAGTTCTGGTGCACTGGGTGACAGACCCTACATCCCTGTGTCACCTTTCTGGGCATAATGATAGGGTACCTGACTGTGGGGCTATTGTGAGGCTTGAATGAGTATAGTGTGTTTGGCTGGCACACAGCAAGCCCTCGGGAGAAGTGATTTTTATTACTGGTACTCCCCACTAGAGAGTGAGTACCCTAAGAGCAGTGATTTGTTTGCCTTGTTTATCGCACATTTCCAGAGCCGGGTATGCCAGGCACGATGGCACTGTAATATTTTATCAGATTAATAGATGAAGGAATGCATGAAGTATAACATGGGGATGCTGCCCTTGGGGTTGTTGTGAGGAGTCAGAATCCTCTTAGGTAAGGCTCCCTGCACAGGGCTGAACCAGTCCTACTCACAAACCTTGGGGTCCACCCACTCACAGGCACGTTCCCCCCGCACGCAGCTTTGCCTGTCATTTCCTGAGGCCCTGCCCTGATGCCAGGCTCCGTAGGGTGAATCAGACTCTGCCGCTGCCCCAAGGGCATCCAGGCTGACTGGAGCAGTCCCAGTCATCAGTTTGATCTTGGCAGTAATCGGATGATGCTAGTGTCATTATGATCACCCCATTTCCCAAGTGACGACACTGAGGTTCTGAGGGAGTGAGCTCACTGGCTACTCCATATCTAGCCAGTGAGAGCAGAGATGGCCACCCCAGCCTTCTGAGGCAGGGAACGTGTCAACTCAAACTACTATGTGCCCCAACCTTGATTCTGGGCCCAAATGGCTCCAGTTGCGCAGATTACCCAATAGATACCCCGTGAACACTTACTTGGGCTGGGCCTGGGCTCTTTAGTGATGAGGACAGACTTGTGGTTGAGCTGGGGACACAGACATGAATCAAATAATTTCACGAATCAGATATGCCTATAAACTGTGATAAACACTAGAGAAAATGTATCCTGAGAAAATGTAAGAGGGAGACTTCTCAAGGAGGTGACATTGGGCCCAAGGATGAGCACGTGTTGCCTGCTGCGCAAGGGGAGCGGCGACCTTGAGGCCCAAGGAAGCGGCCCATGACAGGGCAGAGGCAGCTTAGAAAGTGGGGAAGAAGAGAGGAGACTGGTCGGGCAGGGGTCCTGGTTGGGGAGGTCACATCCAGGACTTGGGGCTTTACCCTGAGGGCAAGAGTGGAATGAGGAAGGGCTGGGAGTGTGGGACCAGATTTATGTATTAGAAGGATCCTCTGGCTGCCGTGTGGAGAAGAGATCATAGAAGGGAGCAAAATCAGAGTCTTGACAATCCTCCAGATGAGGGGGCAGTGGTGGGGAGAAGGGCCAGGCACCAGAGGTTTCTAGGGGTTACAGTGGACAGGACCACATGATGGATTGGTGGGGGTGGGAGGGTGCGGCAGGGGACGGGGGATGCCCTGGATTCTAGCTTGTGCAGATGAGAAGAAATGCTTCACACACGCCTGGAGAGCAGGATACACACAAATATGGGTATATTTGTGTGGACACATCCAAACACGTGTCCACACAGTCTCACAGACCGAGAGAAGCAGAGGCACAGATACTGATATACTCCCAGGCTGAGAAACAGGCCGCGACCCACGCATACAAACATGCCTGCAGACATACCAAGAAATACAGAAACAAAGACAGAACAAATGTCGACACACCCACTCATAAGCACAGGCCAGGGCTCTCAGCGTGACGCTCATCTACATACATGTGTGCATGTGAGAGTTTCAAAGACACGCACAGCTGAGACATGACGGAAGGAGTGAACACAGATACACACAGAAGCACAGCGGAGACCGGCGGCCCCATGCTGGCTGTCTGCGTGACCCCAGGCGGTCATGTCACCTCTGTGTATGTTTTCTCATCTGCCAAAGGGGATGACGATAGTCCCTTTTGGGAAGGATGAAATGAGTTACTTCCCATCCGCCATATAAAGGGAACAGTACCTGGCACGCAGCAGTCCCCGCCTGCATTGGCCCCAGGCCCATCCCCTTCAGAGGCCCCAGCCTCACCCTTCCTCCTTCCCACCCGCCCCCTTCCTTCCCCATGGCTCAGTCCCTGGGGGCCGAGTCCAGGCAGAGTCCAGCTGACCATTGGCTCTTTAGGGCAAAGGGCTGGTACTCAGGCAGCAGGATCCCTCAGCTCTACCTCTGCCCCAGTCCTGCCCCAGGCCCCTGTGAGCCTGCCCCTGCCCCAGTGCCCTCTGCCTGGGATTCTTGGCAAGTCTCTGGCCCCCTCAGCATCCCTTCCTCCTGGCTCCATCCGGCATAGGCCCCAGGGAGCTGCCTGGATCAGGGCAAAGGACAAGGCCCTGGACTCAATGAGGGAATGGCATTCAGCCTGTGCCCAATGCTCTCTGCAAGTCTCTTTGGTATCCTCATCTTCACCAAGGCCCCTACCCATAGACAGCAAGTAATGAGAGCAGCTCTAGAAAGTGGGAAACCACACCTCACGCAATAAATAGCAAGTGCTGGGTGTGTGCCAGGCACTGCGCAGGGACAGGGGCACAGCACTGAGTAAAACAAAGTGCCTTCCCTGGGGGGCTACAATCCAGTGAGTGAGCCAGCGCACATAGCGCATTTGTGATAGTGAACTGGATGGTGAGGTAGCGGGTAGTAAGGGTCACAGAGAAAAATGACCTTTCAGTGAGGCCGAGTGAGAACCCCAAAGCATGGCACCAGGGCAGCACCAGCACCCACCCTGGGGAGCCAGGGGGGCCAAATGCCCTTTCCAGATAAGGAACCCAGCCCCCTCAGGATCCCTCGGAGTGGCTTGGACCAGTTCCACTGCCACAGCCACTAAGCCTGTAGCTGTCTTTCCATCCATCCATCTGGCCACTGGCCACAGGGAGGGGTGGTCCTCTCCCAAGTTCCCAGGCATCCACTTCTCCCCTCACTCTCATGCCTCCCAATTTCCTACTTTTTAATATTTGCTGAGCACCTACTCTATGGTGACCCCTGCTGGGCCCTGGGGCCACTCCCCACCCTCTGGGGAAGAAGCAGCTGCTTGTCCTACCGCCAAACAGGTGGTGAAGGCCCCCAGGCTATCTGCACTGGATTCTTCCTTCAGAGGCCCTGTGCCCAATTTTGTGCTTGAGGTTTTATTTCCTGCTCCCTAGAGTCCCACCTCCACACCTATAAACTTCACAGCTCCCTGAAGCCTGGTTCTGCCCCCGGGGCAAGACAAACACACACATGTGTAATTGCAAATGTGTAAAATTCTAGGAAGAACAACAGGTATGAGAATAATGATGGGGTGGGCTGGTATCTCAGATGGGGTGGACAGTTAGGGCGTGCCTCTTTAAGGAGTTGCCGAAAGAGCTGGCCAGGCATGGAGCACATAGGATAACAGGTAAGGGTCTCTTAGGTGGAGGTGGGGGTGGCAGTCAAGGCAGGATGGGCTGTGAAGGGTAAGTGGCAGGTACAGGGTCCCAGCGTCAGAACACCACACACAGACAGCAGGAGCTGTGCCTCAGGCCCTGGCTGAGCTTGGCACTGCCCTTAATTGGCTTTTGTCCTCCCAGGAGGGATAAGCAGAGCTGGCTACTCTCTTTCTCCCCCCAGCAGCTGGGGCGGACTGTGCCAGGGCAGCCCTGGGGACGGGAGCTGAGGTCACTAGGCCTTTGCTCCCTGAATCTACCCTGGGGAGAGGGAGGCAGCACGGCTGGGTGGGAGGACAGTTTGTTCAGGACTGGGAGCCTGGACTCCTGGCTCCGAGGGTGGAAGGAGACTGGGGCCAGGACTCCTAGGATTTGGCTGCCCAGTTGAGCTGGAAGGGGTCAGGGAGCTGGACTCCAAGCTCTGTTTACAGCACGTGGTTCTCACTGTCCTTTCTGGGTGGGAGGTGGAGCTGGTGGCCACACCCTGGGCAGGCTGGCTCCGCCCCCAGTTTATGGCCCCAGCCTGTTACTGACACTAGCAGAAGACCAGCCAGCAGACCCAGCCTGGAGCTCCGAAGAGGCCTGGGAGGGGTGAGTGCATGGCCTGCTGAGACTGCCAAGGCCGTTGCCGAACCCCAGGGCCTAGAAGGGAGAGGACTCTTCTTCTGAGGGGTCAGGAGCCAGGCAAGGTGCTGGGTCAAATTCAAGAAGGACAAGTTTGTGGAACAGAGGGTGATAGTCCCACCAGAGTGGCCAGGGCAGCTTGTCCAGGACTTGGATGACAGGACAGGGATCCTGAAGTGGGGAGTCAAGCATAGTCCAGGGCAGGTTTTTGAGGGTCAGAGCTAGAGGCCCAGCTTCCAAATTCCTGGGAGGGAGACCAGCCTAGGTCAAGGCTCTGGATCCAGAGATCTGGTTTGAATTTTGTTCTTCCACTTTCAGTGCAACCTTCAATTCCTTACTTAATACCTCTGAGCAGTTTTCTCTCCTGTAAAATGGGGGTGCCACCAATAATAGTTGAAACTTGAACCCAGACGAGTCTGGGACGGCGGGTTAGCGAGGGCTACCTGAGCAAACACACAGGATGCTCTTAGCACAGGGTGTGGCACAGAGCAAGCTCACGGCCAGTGGCGGGAATGAGTGCTGCGTTCTAGGCAGCAGGACAGGGTTGGCCCATGAAATCGAAGTCAAGTGGACCAGCTGAAAGGTCAAGGAACGCAGATGTGGAGGAGTAAGAGGGAGTTCGGAGATCCTACAGAGGACCAGAGAGGATACTGGAGTTTGCAGGGAGTTCCAAAGCCAGACTTGAGGAACAGGAGAGGGCAGGAGTGTCTCCTCGGTCTTAGTCTAGAATTATGAGCGCCTGTGTACTGGAAGAGACCTGGCCTTGGACCAGGTGCTAGGACACCACAGGCGGACGGGCATGGAGGGCTGAGCACTCCCAAGAAGGCCTGGAGGTGATACCTGGGGGGGGCTGGGAAGGAAGTACAATGGGGGCCTGAACACCTGGGTCTAAGAGAGAAGAACAACTCAGATTCTAGGAACCAGGGAGGAGACCTGTGCCCCGGGAGAGTGAGTGGAGACCGATGTCTGAACTCTTGGGTCCCTGGAAGGAAAAAAGGCGGTGGGGGGAAGAGCTGCAGTTAGCGAGCCAGATTCTGTGGGCTGAGGAGACTAGACTCTTAGGTTGAAGAGAGGGGAGAAGGCCAGGAAGAGCAAGTTTCTGTACGAGTAGGAGAGCAAGGGACTCCTGGGTCTGAGACTCACGGGTCTGAGGGAGGAGGGAGCTAGAGATCAAACCCCAACTCCTGAGGGAGAATACCCTCAGGTTACCCGGATTCATGGGTCCTAGGGAAGGAAAGGGATGGTGTGCTAGACTCCAGCCCTGGAGATGAGGTGACCTCTGGGTTCTGAGGGAGGAGGGGCTGGGGGCCTGGACTCCTGGATCCCTTTTGAGCAAGGTGTGATGCAGTCCTGCCTGACAGGCCTTCCTACTGCCCACAGCCTCATTGCTCATTCAAAGCATGGACCTACACACCATGACACAGTCGCTGGTGACTCTGGCGGAGGACAACATGGCCTTCTTCTCAAGCCAAGGTCCTGGGGAGACAGCACGGCGGCTCTCCAGTGTCTTTGCGGGTATTCGGGAGCAGGCGCTGGGCCTGGAGCCAATCCTGGCCCACCTGCTGGGAGTGGCCCACCTCTTTGACCTGGATGCAGAGACGCCCGCCAACGGGTACCGCAGCCTGGTGCACACAGCCCGCTGCTGCCTGGCACACCTGCTACACAAATCCCGCTACGTGGCCAACAACCGCCGCAGCATCTTCTTCCGCACCAGCCACAACTTGGCCGAACTCGAGGCCTACCTGGCTGCCCTCACCCAGCTCCGCGCTCTGGCCTACTATGCCCAGCGCCTTCTGACCACCAACCAGCACAGGGGGCTCTTCTTCGAGGGCGACGACAGGCTCATCGCTGACTTCCTACGCGAGTATGTCACGCTGCACAAGGGCTGCTTCTATGGCCGCTGCCTCGGCTTCCAGGTGAGTCCCTGTCCAGTCCCTCCAGGATCCAGGAAAAGGCAGCCGTGGCTTCTACACTGGCCCATTTGGGGAGTGGAGTGACCCTCCCCCCCCCCCGCCCGTGCTCAGTGCTGCCAGCTACACAAAACAGCAGAGGCCAAAAGGGGATGTGATGGAGCTCAGCCAGAGCTGCACCCGAGGTCTCAAACTTGGGGTCCCCTAGGCCAGCTCCACAGTGAAGGAAAATATCTACAGTTTGGCATAGTTTTTTATACCAGGATCCCCAATATTCCCTGTTGTCCTACACTCAGGAGATTAACTCACTCCTTTATATGACCTATCTGACCCCTGAGGTCATTTGAAACGAGACCCCCTCGCCCCCAGGGGTAGTCAGCATATTCTCAAAGAGCACACCACACTTAGTCATCCTCACCAGATGCCTTCAAGGGAAGGAGGAAGGTGCCAACCCCACTTTAAAGAGGTTCCTTTCTCAAGGGGAGGGGGCCTACAGCTGCTGGGTTGGACACAGGCCTGCAAGCAGGCTTTGTGACTCACCTAAGGAGCTGTAGGATTTTCATGCTGGGGGCAGTGACAGTGAGGAAGACCTGCTGACCTGGCCCCTTTCCTCCCTGAACTGGGGCCTGGATCCCCAGTGCAGGCCCTCTCCTACCCGTGACCCACCCAGACCTCCTCAGGGGGACACACTCCTCCCAGCACTGAGAGGAAGACGGTGCGGAGGCCCTCAATCAGACTTATAGGAAAAGGAGTTTGAGGATTCAGAATGGGGGGGGGGGGCATAGGGTGCCAGGGTCAAAGCAGAGGTCCAACTTGCCCCAGTCTGGGGTCAGTCACTAGCTCCCCAGTCCCCAGCAGCATCAGGGAATCCCAGCAGGAGTATCTGGAGCCAGGTGACCCTGTAACCCTTCAGACCTTCTCTGGGTCTCTTCCACCCCAGTGAGAACTGAGCTTGGCGGGGTCTCAGCCCCCCATCCCATCCTACTTTTCCACATTTTCCTGCGGGCCACCCTGTGCTCACCAACCCAGCCTGCGTGTTCCTGGGAACTTCGCCTCACCTGAGCTGAACCCACAAATACTGAGCCAGCCGGCTCCTCCCTGTCCTGGCCGTGACCTTGGAGTCAGAGGAAAGAGATTCCAGGACCTCCTGATCCAGGAGCCCAGCCACAATGGCCAGGCACCCCCGTGCTCTCTGACCTGCTGGGCCCCCGGCCAGGGGCAGGGCCGTGTTGTGCTGCAGGAGAGCCTCCCCTGTAAAATGTCAGCCCTCGAGCAGAGTTCTTCCCTGTGGGGTCTCGCTCAACCCCTGCCCCAGCACAGTGCTCTGCACACAGCATTTATTGGTATCTGTTAAAAGAACAGAACCGTGCTGGCCCCTTGCCTGTGGCTTTTTTTCTCTGACCTTGTCCCTCCTTGTCTCTTAGGCCTCCTCTCTGACACTGTCTCCCCATTCCTCTGTGGCTGCTTCCTGTCCTCATCTCTGGGCCTCAGACACTCTCCCTGCTTGCTCTTTCCACTTCAGGATCTTTGTCCCCATCTGTCTCTGGCCTGTTCCTGTCTTTCTGATGCTCCTGCTGTCTTCCTCGCCTCACCTCTCTGTCTTCATGACTTTCAGGAAACCCCTGCATCATGTTACTCCCGGCTCACCACCTCCAGCGGCACCGCCCACATCTGAAATAACCCCAAACTTCTCAGTCCTGAGTGACCCCCTTGCTTCTCTGAGCTCACCCCCTGCCCCTCTCCCCAGGCTCCCTGGCACCCTCCCTTATGTTATCCACGCAAGCTGGGCCACCGCAGAGCCCTTGTCTCTGCAGGAGCCGCCCTCCTCGCTCAGTCACACTCCTCAGGTCCAAGCAGCATGGCCCCTCGTCACCTTTCAAGTCACCTCCACCTAGTGTCTTTCAAAGCATCAGTCATTACTTGCCATTACCCTACAGATGTCTTTATTTGGTGTCTTCCCTTCGACAGCAGCAGCTCCAGGAAGGCCCTAGAGCAGTGCCTGCCCACAGTAGGCGCTCACTAAAGCTGTGGGATGACCGCACTCCACGTCTGCCCCTCACTCCTGCCCGCCCCGCCCTCCCCGGGCGTGGGTGACGCAGCGGCATCTCTCTGCAGTTCACCCCCGCCATCCGGCCATTCCTGCAGACCATCTCCATCGGGCTGGTGTCCTTCGGGGAGCACTACAAACGCAACGAGATCGGCATCAGTGAGTCCCGGCAGGGGCCCGCCTGCACCTCACCTCCCTTCTGCCCCCGCAACCCTGCCCCACCAGCCTGACCAGCTGGGCTCCCTAACACTCTTCCTGACCCCCAGGTGTCACCGCCAGCTCCCTTTTCACCAGCGGCCGCTTTGCCATTGACCCGGAGCTGCGTGGGGCTGAGTTTGAGCGGATCACACAGAACCTGGATGTGCACTTCTGGAAAGCCTTCTGGAATATCACTGAGATTGAAGTGCTGTCGGTGAGTGTGAGGCCCGAGAAGGGCCCCAAGTAATCACAAGATGGGGGACACTGAGACCCAGAAACCATCCAAGGCCACACAGGTCTCTGCCGGACTGCAAGCCCAGGGAAAGCTCTTGAGAGGAAAGACTGGAGCTCAGTGGGAAGGTGTGGGGGATTCCCTGCCAGCATCCCCTCCCTAGCACCCCTTCTGTTCCCTCCCACCAGTCTCTAGCAAACATGGCATCAGCCACCGTGAGGGTAAGCCGCCTGCTCAGCCTGCCCCCAGAGGCCTTTGAAATGCCGCTGACCTCTGACCCCAAGCTCACAGTCACCATCTCACCTCCCCTGGCCCATACGGGCCCAGGGCCTGTCCTCGTCAGACTCATCTCCTACGACCTGCGGGAAGGACAGGTAGGGCCCAGCCTCAACCATGAACAGGCCCAGAGCCGAGGAGTGGACAGCCCCACCCAAGGCTCCCCCTTCCTCGTGCTGCCATCCTCCCTGCCCTCCCACCTCTCACTCCTCACACCTGCCCCGCTCCTGCCTCTGAGCTCGACCCCTGTGTGGGGGTGGGGGTGGGTCCCCAGGCAGATCATCCCAGCTTCACCCCCCTCGCCTTCCTCACCCCCAGGACAGTGAGGCACTCAACAGTATGGTGAAGTCTGAGAGTCCTCGGGGCCTGGAGCTGCGACCACGCCCCCAGCAGGTGCCCCGCTCTCCGTCCCTGGTGATACACATCCACGGTGGCGGCTTCGTGGCCCAGACCTCCAAATCCCACGAGCCCTACCTCAAGAGCTGGGCCCAGGAGCTGGGTGCCCCCATCCTCTCCATCGACTACTCCCTGGCCCCCGAGGCACCCTTCCCCCGAGCGCTGGAGGAGTGCTTCTTCGCCTACTGCTGGGCCATCAAGCACTGTGCCCTCCTGGGTGAGCCCAGCCCCCAGCACTCCAGGTCCTGCCCTGACACCTCCACACCCTCTCCTGCCTCCACACTTCTCCCTCTCCCCACTGCTCACCAGACCTGCCACCTCAGCACTTACCCCTTCCCACCCCTGCACCCCACTTCTAGCCCAGACAGTCCTGTTTCTCTATCCCTGCTGACCTGCACTGCCAGCCCCCTGCCCTACCCGCTTCCGGCCCTTTCCTCAAGCTCCTGTAACCTCCCACTTCTCACATGTGGGGAGGCACCGAGCCCACTGGGGCCATAGGACACAGGCCTGTGGCCCAGTCTTTCTGTCCGTGCTGTCAGACTGAACCCTGACCTTCCTCGGTGCCCCTTCCCCCAGACATGCCCCTTGTCTCTCCTTTCCCACTGTCCTCTTGCTTCTGGGTCCAGCCTCCCAAGCTTCCTCTCTCCATGCTCTTCGGATCCTCCCACCACTGTCCTTCAAAGGAGTCCAAATCCCTGCCTCAGTTACCCTTTCTCTAAAATTGGCATTGGCTAGACCTTGGGGTGTCTGGGAGGCCAGCACTCCTGGCCCAGGGCTCAAGTTCCTCCCTGCCCAACATGACCGCGCCCCTCCACACCAGGCTCAACAGGAGAGCGGATATGCCTCGCGGGGGACAGCGCAGGTGGTAACCTCTGCCTCACCGTGTCCCTTCGGGCAGCAGCCTATGGGGTGCGCATGCCAGATGGCGTCATGGCAGCCTACCCGGCCACGATGCTGCAGTCTACTGCCTCTCCCTCCCGCCTGCTGAGCCTCATGGACCCCCTGCTGCCCCTCAGCGTGCTCTCCAGATGTGTCAGCGCCTATGCTGGTAAGGCCCATGCCCCTAGGCTAGGGGGTGCCAGGGCCTGGGGCCTGCAGGGCCAGGGGTGAGGGAGGACTGAACCTCCTTGTTCCTGCTGAAGCCATCAGCTGTGCTTGGGCTCCTGGTGGCTGACATTCTGGTTGTTGAGACTGGGCCCTCCACATGCACTCTGCAGGTGGGGAGACAGAGGACCAAGCTGACTCAGAGGAAAAGGCACTGGGCATGATGGGGCTGGTGCGGCGGGACACAGCCCTGCTCCTGCGAGACCTCCGCATGGGCGCCTCCTCCTGGCTCAACTCCTTCCTGGAGATGAGTGGGCAAAAGTCCCACAAGGACCCAGTGCCCGTAGCAGGTGAGATGCCCTCCCCTCATGCACCCAGCAGGGTGGCCGGAGGGACAGCCTGGTATACCAAAGTCGTGGGGGTCCTCAGGGGAGCAGAGATCCCCTTCCTGACCCTGCCCTCTACCCAGCCTGCTCTGGATGAAGCCTAGCTCTTCCAGCACAGTCCACAGTCCAGAAGTCCTGGAAATTCTGGGACTTTTGCTTCCTCCAGTCATCTCAGAGGTCTAGCAACTACAAGATTTAGCTTTCCAAACAGCCTGTCCCTGACAGGCACCTTGGGGAGTGACTCAGAAGTCCCTGCCCCCCAAGTCCTGTTTATCAGTCCACAGAACGCCGCCCAAATCGCCTGGACACTCAGGTGGGGTCCAGCCCTCCTAGATTCTCTCCTGACTTCTAACAGAGGCACAGAGGTTAATACCCACCCCCAACGGCTGGCGGAGGAGCCTGGGGTGGGAGGTCAGCTGCCTGGACAGACTGCGGAAACCAAAGAGACCCCTAGCCCTGGGTGGGTGGCAGACCCTCAAGCGGCTGAAAGTCACTTCCAACCAGGGAGCCCTCTTTCCACGCCATTTTTGTACATGTTAAACGATCTTCAAGCACAGCTACCTCAACTTATTTTCTATCTCTAGCACATTCCCCTTTTTCTGAAAAGTGTTCCAATTGAATGCATTTTAAGTTTTGAAATGTTGGGCTGTTCCAATGGGTGAAAACTAATACAAAAACAATGAAAAGGGGTTGGAATTTTAGGCACAGGGACCGTTGAGCACTGGATCTTCCTTGTAGGATAAAGTGACCAGCGCAGCCCCTGCAAGCACACACCAGGCCACTCCCTCACCGTGCCAGGTGCTTGCTCTCCCTAGGTGTGGTGGGCGGGTAACAGGACCTGTGAGCCTGGTTTTGCATCTCTGAGAAATGGGTACAGTAACAACACCTGCCCAGAAGTTTGTTGGGAGGACTACGTGGCACACCCCTGGCACACAGCAAGTGCTCTTGGTCTGTACCCCGAAGGCTGCCCCGTGACTAGGCACAGTTCTGGTCATTGCGCTTACGCAGCTGTTCTGCTGTGGTCTTGCGTTTTGCCCTGTGGATGTATAAAGACAAGTGAAATGACTGGAAGAGACAGGGGTGGCCCTTGTGGTGAATGGCATGGACTTGATAAAATAGATGGAGCAGAGGCCGGGGGGCATCCCAGGTGGGCCAGGAGAGCATCTCTAACATCTTTTGGGCAGTTGTTTGCCTGGTAACTATGAAAAGGGATGAACAACATGATGGAAATTTGAGATCAGTGTGGCTATAGGTGTGGGATCACTGGGAGTCGAGTAGGCCCCCAAGACTCTTCAGCTCTGTGTGATCAGAGCCTCCTTTTAAGCCATGTGGGTGCTTACACCTCTTTGATCTGTTCACACCCTTTGTGTCAAGTGGCTATAAAACGTTGTCTAGGGCAGGGAGGCGGCTGGAAGCAGGTAGCAGGCCTGGGAATAAAGCATTAATAAACTACACTGAACTATTATGACCTCCCCCCGGGGAGCAGTGCCTAATCCCACTGAGTCTGCACTGCTTCCTGTGAGATAAGGACTATTTTTATCCCCTTTGTACAGAGGAGGCAACTGAGGCTCCCAGCGGTAAAATGACTTGTACTCACCCTTCCCAGTCACCACACACACCCCTCCACTGGGACTCTGCTCCACCACCAGGACCACATAGGTGTCATAGTCATGCATGATTAAGGGTTCAAAACCCCTTGAAACTGTAGCCTGGGGCTCCTAATCATCCCAGGAGGGAATTTGGGGAACACTCTAGGCCCTGCAACCCTAGAATGCAGCACCTCCTCTATAGAGGCCACTGCCCTGCCATGACCTTCCCTGCCAGCCACCACACACCCAACCAACAGAGCTAGGCTTGTCTGAAGCTCCAGCAGACCCTGGTCCTGCTCCTCTTGCAGAGCCAATGCGCCGCAGCGTGTCTGAGGCAGCGCTGGCCCAGCCTGAGGGGCCCTTGGGCACCGACTCCCTCAAGAACCTGACCCTGCATGACCTGAGTCTGAGGAGCTCTGAGACATCAGGCAATACTGAGCTGTCACTGTCAGCTGAGTCACTCGGCCCCTCCAAGTCCTCTGATGTAAACTTCTTACTGGGATCTGAGGATATACCAGAGGATGCCCAGGCCCAAGATGAGCCAAGTTCTAAAGACCAAAGATACCAAGGAGTCAGCGCAGCCTTCCCTGAGGGGTTCCATCCAAGGCGCTCAAGCCATGGTGCCGCACGGATGCCCATCTACTGCTCGCCCATCGTCAAGAACCCCTTCATGTCACCACTGCTGGCACCAGACAGCATGCTGCGGAGTCTGCCTCCCGTGCACATCGTGGTAAGTGCGGGGCGGGTGGGTGCACCCCTCTGGGCACAGTCTGGTGGAGCGCAGGTGCACTGGGGTATAGAGCTCCCGGGAGGCTGGGACGGTAGGCAACCGCCGGATAGGTGTGTGCCACCAAGGAAGGAATATTACCCCCCACCCCCACGCCCCCCACCAACGGGAAGATGGAAGGGGGTCAGCGCTAGCGCTGCCATATTCTCTGGCAATTCTATTGCGCGCCATGGGGCAGCCTCACTGCCAGGGCTTAGAGACTCGGGGAGGAAAAAGCTGGTGGGGTCTGGGGAAGGGAACTCTGGGCCAACGGGGCGCTCAGTTAAACTTCCTCTCCGCTCCCTGCCCCACCTCCCTGTCCCCCATCTCTGTCCGCCCCTTCCCTCACGTCAACCTGAGCCTAATTCGCACCTTCCCGGCCCCGCAGGCCTGCGCGCTGGACCCCATGCTGGACGACTCTGTCATGTTCGCGCGGCGACTGCGCAGCCTCAACCGGCCGGTGACGCTCCGCGTGGTGGAGGACCTGCCGCACGGCTTCCTGAGCCTGGCCGCGCTGTGCCGGGAGACGCGGCAGGCCTCGGCGCTGTGCGTGGAGCGCATCCGCCTCATCCTCACCCCGCCGGGCCCCGCCGCCCCAGCACCCCCCAGCGACCCAGAGCGCGAGTCCATGCGGTCCACGCTGCCGGCCTGAGGGGCGGGCGGAGACGTGCGCGGGGACATGGGGGCTGCGGGGAGCACACTAAAGGCCTCTTGTTCCCATTTACGCCGGCCTCCGTGATGAATGCGCCCAGGGATGGGAGGAGGGCCCCCCCAGGGGCTCCTGGCCCCTCCGGCTTGAGCCGGGCGGGCGGGGGCGGACTGTGCCTTAAATCGGGGGTTCGCGTTGGGGACGGTTCAGGGTCCCAAAACCTGAGCCCTAGCCTGGGAATGGAGGCGCGCGGGAAACCAGCCTGACCGCTGGACCTGCGCGCCACCGATGCCACCGCCCCTGCCTCAGGGGCGCGGGCCTGGCCCCACCTCCTGGGGCCTTTTGGTTTTGTTTGTAAATAAAAGTATTTAATTATTCTGGCCTCTCTCAAATAGGGTGAGGATTCTCCCGCCAGGGGGCAGCACCGGATTCAGATGCTGGGAACCAAGAAACTTGGAACTGCAGAGCAGAAGGGGGCGCGGCAATTCCCGGGTTCTGACGATATTGCTTGCCTAGATTCTGGGGTGCCGAGGAACTACACTCCCCTACTAACCGACTTAATCCAGGTTGAGTTGCAGGGGACTCGTGCTCTCAGCTCCCCCCTTTACAAGCACAGCTCCAAACCGACAAGGAAAAGAAAACCCATCTCTTGGGTTCCAAAGCTTCTAGTGACCTAAACTTACTAGAGAACTGGTACTAAACTAACAAAACCATAAACAAACTGAACACCCACAACTGGAAAGTCATAAACAAACTGAACACCCACAACTGGAAAGCCTGCCTAGCTGTGTCAGCCACTCGGTCCCTCAACCACGACAGGCCTCCCTTTCACATTTCCTGGTTTGGAGCGGAGATTTCTATCCAAGGTCAGCCTTCAGGAGGGTCCTATCCTGGTCTTCGGGTGGGTAGGGGAAGAGACACAGTAAGTCATGGCCTCCATCTGTGGTAGTCAGGGAGGACTTCGCTGAAGAGGTGATCTGAATTTGACCTAAAGGATGAGCACAAGTTTGCTGGGCAGAAGAAACATGTTAGTTGTGTGGTCAAGGCCTCTGCCTGCCATGAAGTTCGGGTGCAAAGTGTATGTGGGGTGGGGGCTGGAGATCAGCTCAGGCACCGAATGAGCCTGCCAGGACGCTAGGGGAAGGGCTGTAAAGGGCAAGACTGGCACCCTGGAAGTAAAGAAGGCTATAGACGGGGGAAATAAAACCAGGGCTGCACAGAAGCCATGGGGGTAGGGAGCAGGAGAAGGGGTGGGGCAGATCCCAGACCTGTGACTCAGGTGGGACGAACAGAACTGAATGAACTTGGAGCCAAGGTTACAGGAGAGCAAGGGGCCCAAACTGACATTTGGGTGTGGCCAGGGAAGCATGTGGATAGAGAGGCTGTCTCTCCACTGGGAGGAGGCTAGGGTGTGAGGTGCCGTTTTGCACTCATCAACAGGTCTTTGTACGACAATGAGGGGGGAGCATCGACAATGGGGGGGAGCATCCAGGAAGTTGCGGGGGTCAGAGAGCAGACTGGGTGCTCACTTCTGCCTGCAACTGAAGGACTAGAACCTTCCCAGGAAGAGTGGGCAGGTGGTACAGGCAGAGGGCCAGGACAGAGTCCTGAGGACATTGGTCTCCAGAGAGGGGAAGTAGACAGTAAATGGTGAGTCCTGGGGGTTCTAAGGAGCAGCTGGAGAGAAAAGCTAATAAGAAAGAAGCCAATGTAAAGCAAAGGGAATTTCAGGCGGGAAGGAGTGATCTGAGGCACAGAAGACCGAACTGTTAACCTCAGGCCTCAGCAGTGAGATGCGTCCTGAGGGGACTTGCCCAGGGCCTTGCAGGGCCAAAGGAGGGTTGAGGAGGGAGTGAAAGACAAGGGATTGGGCCAAAAGGGTACCACAAGTTTCCAGCAATAAGAAGGATGAAAAATAATTCAAGGGAGCTTGATGGTGTCTGTGTTTAGAGATGATGGAACATTTTTTAATGCTACCCGAGAAGGAAGGAAGGGAGAGACTGAAGAAGCAGAAACACAGTTTCTTGAGGGAGTGGGGAAGGGACCCTCACCTCAGACCCTCATTCACCCACCAAGTGACTTCTGAGTCAGGGCCTGCGATGCTTGGGGAGGGAGCCATGACGGTCCAGTTCCTGAGTCACAGCTCCTTCCAGTTCATGGAAACACTTGCTTATCCCTGCCGAAACAGTCCTCGCCCACCAACCTGCTCCCCTCCCTGTCCCCATCTTAGGGACGCCTCTAGCACCCTCCAGTCGCTCAGACCAGAACTCTGGGTCCCACAGTCTATTAAGCCCCATTTCCTGGTCTTTCTGCCTCTTGAATCTCTGCTTGTCCTCTTGACCTCTGATCTAACACAAGCTTCACGGTCTCCTGACTGGGCTCCTTCCTAAGTCCCCTATCGCGGTGCTGGCCCCCAGCCTCATTATTCCATCTCTGGCCATAGCTATGGCCCAGTTCTCCTCTGCTCCAAGGCCTTGCATAGCTCCTGGCTACCCACCACCTCTGCCTCCAGCTCCACCAAGCCTCACTGTTTCTTCTCCAAGCTACGTCCACAATCCCAGAGCCAAGTCCAAGCTCCTCATTCCGACCTCTGCCCACCTCTTCATCCTCTTCCAGCCTGACAGCTCCCCCAGTAACATGGATGTGACCAGCCTCCACACAGCAGCACTCCTCTAGGCCTCCCGTTTTTGTTCATGCTGAACAACCCCCACCCCTGCTGTCCTCCTCCTTTGCCTAGCACCTCCGAGTCCTCCAAGGTCCATCTCTAATGGCCCCTGGCCTCCCTTTCCTGACCACACCAAACCGAAAAGACGCTCTGCACAGCCCTACCCATCCATGTGTGGGGCTGACCTCCCACCTGACCCCGGCGCTCTGAGGGCAGGGCTCAGGCCTGACTCAGCGTGGTCACCAGCATCGCCCAGCACGAAGCGGGCACACCAGAAGCTTCAGGAAATGTGTAAGTAATGGGTGGATGAGTGTGTTCACGGGCGAGTGCTGTGAGTGGCTGGACGAGGAAATCAGTGACTGAGGTAATTAATGAGAGCAGGAAGGACGGAACGGATGGGTGAGCAGGACAGGTAGGGCCTGACGAGAATCAGGTTTAGGGCGGCAGGAATGCAATGGGTGATCAATACCGAAGCCTGCGCCTCCCCGACTCAGTTTCCCCAACAAAGCAAAATGCACGCTCGCCCCAACGAAGCCCCCCGCCCCTCTGCCTCCAGCCCACCAAGCCTCGCCGTTTCCTGTCCGAGCTACGTCCGCAATCCCAGCACTGGGCTTCTGGAAAAGGCTTACCCGGCCGGACCCGCAGAACCCGTTTCCTCAGCAGCCCGCGGCAGCCTCTGCGGAGCAGGCTCCCGGCCTATTGGCAGACGGGCAGGACCGCCGGGGATTGGCGTCCCCAAGAGCCTATCGCTGCCCGACTTAGGCGGTGGGCCCGCCTACCGGGGCAGGCGCCCGGGAGTGGCTCCGGGAGGCTGGAGGCGGAGTGTCTATTGGCGGGAAGACGGTGACTGGCGTCAGGGGCACCTTATCACAGCCGGACTCCGCACTCCCGCTCCGCACCCGCCTCTGTGGGGACGCGGGGAGGTCGCCGGGGGCGTGGCCTATTGCAGGAGGGGCTTGACTGGGGCCCCGGGGGGCGAGTACCTGGGCCCTCCGACCGGCCGGTCCCCGATCTGAGGGAGCAGGAGATGGAGAGTGCGGGGCGGAGGGACGGGGAGTCGGGCCTGCTGCATCTGCAGGAAGAGGCTGAGCTCCCGGGCTCCTGGGGAGAAGGGAGCGCGGACCTGAAGGGCTGGGGCCTGGGGACTCCTGGATTCAGAACTTGATGTGGCCGCTTATGAGCCTGGAGCCAGGCCTTGTCCCAGGCAGAAGTCCTGGGGTTTGGAATAGAAATGGAGAGGGAGAGGCTTAGGGGAAGCCGAGGCCCCGGTAGGCCTTTCCTCATGCCTACAGGGAAAGCCACGGGCGGGGTACGGTCTTCTAAAGGAACCCGGGAGCGGGAGGAGGCTTGAAACTCAGGTGGAGACAAAGAGAAAAACATACCAACAGAGAGATTAAAATATTGAAAGCAATAATAAGGGAACTCTTTTGCATGGAACTCACAGTGGCCCCGGTACTACGCTTACTCATAACAGCTCTAAGATCGGATTGTTATTATTATTATTATCCCCGTTTTACAAGTGAGAAAATTGAGGTGCAGAGAGGGAGAAGCAAGGAACAGACAGGACAGATATAAAACATAGATGAAAATACACAGATAATGACAACCAGGCCCACAGAAAGATGGGGGGGGGAAGAAGTGGGGGAAGAGCAGCTGAGAACTGGGACTCCTGGCAGTAGAAGGTACTGGGGTCTACACTTGGGGGTTCTGGGCAAGGAAAGACCAAGGGGTATTTCCTCCCCTGACTCCGAATACTAGGCTAGTCCAGCCCTTCTTGCTGTGGGCGTTGGACCTGCCTGGTTGGGGTAGAAAATAGTGATTAGGGGGGGCAGATGTGTCATTATCCTATCAGAAGATGATAAGAAAATGATTCATGGGGGTGCCCCCAGCCTAGGTGGGGCCTTTCCCCCATTGCCTGTTCTTTAGTCTGGACACATCAGGCCTCAGGAAGGATCAGGGAGAAGCAGGGCCTCTGTCCCTACCTATCTCTGCATCCCCATCACTCAGAACTGTCACTAAGGCCCACCGTGGATATGAGTGTGCCTCCCTGGGACAGCAACAGCTTTCCTGTAGGAAATGCATCTCTCCACATCCCCTAGACCTTGAACCCATGCTGGCCAGAGGTGCTGGCAAAATGCAGGGACTCACAACTGCTTATGGAATGGACTGATAAACTTCCTTCTCGCTGTGCATCTCTCACTCTTTCCTCATCCTGGCATCCAAGGCCTCCCCTGGCCTTGCCAATCTCCTCCCACCTTCCCTTTCATCCTGGTGTTTCTCCAGAGTCATTGGGTTCACCCTCCCCATTAGGGAGAAACGGAGGCTCATTTTGGAAGGAGTGACCCTCCCAGGGTCACCTGTGGGTCTTATAAAGGAGCATCTGAGCAAGAGGTTCTCAAGATCCCAAATACAGCCACACTCCTGGCCCCTCAGAGTCAGAAATGCAAGATCAGGGGCCTCCCCGGTGGCACATGGGGTTAAGCACCCACACTATGAAGCAATCCAAAGCCTCTGTTACACTAGTTCCATCCTGGCCCACCAGGAAGCAGACCACATGGCGCAGCAGACCTCTCCTGTCTCTCCTGCTGCTCCCCTCAGCAGTGCACTTCGGTCAATCTGTTCCCCACTCTGTCTCTGGTGAATCCTCTCACCCCCTGCATCTCTGGCCTGTGCCCCAGCTCTTGTATGCATAAATAAATAAGTCTTTTAAAAAAAGAAATGCACGATCACAGCAAACACATGCCCTGCGATACCTGCTTAATGTGATCTTGCATTTGCACCCACACAATTAGAGAATCACACTTCACCTATGTACACAATCATAAACACAAGCACACAATTACAGAATCACCAGCATTGACAAGACCCACAGAAATGCCCATTTCATATGCCAAACAGAAACCCCAGTTACGCAATGATATGCATGAGCCATGGAGGGCCCACTCATCCAATCTCTATGAGGACCATGAGCAAAGATTTAGTTTCGTTCACTACTGTATCCCCAGCAACCAGCACAGTGCCTCATCGTCAGCACCATCATAAACACAAAGCAGGCTGACATCCACCCACAATCCTGAACACTCACGCGTTAACTCAGTTGGCCTCCTCAATAACCTTCACAACCTCCCATTTTGCAGATGGAAAAATTGAGGTCCAGGGACGCTGGGTGATTTCCCCAAGATTTTTCATAGCCAGTAAGAAGCCTTTAGGATTTGACTCAAACATTCTGGTTTGGGATTCCATCTCATAAGGCCTCTACTCAATAAGCTCTGCTTAATCCACCCAGCCTTGTAAAACCTCAATCACAAAGAGCACTCGCTGGACCCAAGGGGGCACAATGGGTAAAACCACAGAAGGGCAATGTAGAAACACAAATAGAAAAAACCCCCTCACATGTCACACCCCGGAACACAGGAACATGGTGACGGTCCCCATGCAGATGACACATGGCACACACCACACAAAAGAGACACAACACACCCAAGCCCAGACACAGTGTTGCACCCAGGACTCCCAGCCCCTCTGGGCTGGCCCTCCAGGAAGCAGCAGGCTTCCATAGAAAGGGGGGCCCCCTCACTGGTCCGCTCAGCCCAACCAGTTCCACCAGAGCTGTGGACAGGCAACACCCACCTTGTGAAACCCACATTGGGCAACTGGACCCAGGCCAGGCCTGGACGCCTGGACTCTGGGGAAAAAAGGAGCTGAGACCCTGATTCCCGTGTTCTGAGGGAGTAAGGGGCTGGGTGCCCCTTTCTTGGACTCTTGGGGAGAGGAGGAAAAAGAGCCTGGTCTCTCAAGTCCTCAGGTGGGAGGGCCAGGACTTGGATTCCAGCATTCTAGGAAAAGAGGGAGCCAGGGACTTTGGATGCCGCTGTCTTTGAAAGCAAGATTTCAGATTTAATCCATATAAATACAGGACACCCAGGTAAGTTTGAATTTCACATAAACAAATACATTTTTAGTGTAAGTATACCCCAAATATTGCATGGCACATACTTACACTTTAAAAAGTAGCTCTATTAATAAGTATTGTAAACCAATGAAATATCAGTATGAAAAAAAAAGTATTTGTCACTTATTCAAAATTTAAATTTAACTGGGGTTCACCTGGCAACCCGACTTAGGAGGGATGGTGATCAGATACCTAGAGACATGGCCATGGTCTCCTGGGCCCCCAGGCCTCTCTTCTTGCTCACTGCCCTCCTCTCCACCCCCAAGCAGGTCGCCTCACAGCTTCCCCAGTTCCGATTTCCTCATAGGGGAATTGCTGTATCTAATTGGGGCCCCAGGCTATGTCAGAGTAGGAAGAGGAAACTTGGGGCAACTCTCTGGTTGGGATCCTGGAAGTGCCTGGACTTGGACATGACTGTCCCCGAGTCACTGACGCTCCCATTTGGCAGAGCTGGGGGATGGGCTCTCCGGCTGCCTCCATGGCAGGTCTGGGATGGGGAGAGACGCTGAGACAGGAAACAGAGATCCCAGCAAAGGGAGAGAGACACGGAGTTGGGAGGGCAGAGACTCAGAATGGGGAAGGAGAGAACCCCAAGAAATTTGGACATAGATTTGCAGAGACGAGGAAAGGAAGAGGGGAGAGATTCAGAGCTGGAGAGATGAAAATGCAGAGATGGGGAGAGAGAGACACCAGGACAGAAATGGAGCGGTATCCCCCGGCATTCAGACCCCCAACCACATGATGGATCAAGACACGGAGTGCTGGGCCTCCCCTGGTGGCACAGCGGTTGAGCGCTGGGCTGCGAAGCTGCCTGCAGCCTCTGCAGCGCAGGTTCAATCCCTGGCCACCAGCGAGGGTACCACATGGCGCGCAGACCTCTCCTGCCCCACCCGCTGCTCCCCTCAGCAGTGTATTTCGTCAGTCTGCCTGTTCTGTTCCCCGCTCTGGCTCTGGTGAATTCTCTCACCCTCCTGCGCTTCTGACTGTACCCAGTGCTTGTATAAATAAATAAATAAATCTTTAAAAAAAAAAAAAAAAGACACGGAGTGCTGCCTGAGGTGTGGGGACAAGGACAGCGGGCCATCTGGGTGGTGCCGGGCCATCGAGGCTCAGGTTCTGGTGTGTTTGACCATGAGGTAGAGGGAAAGTCAGGATCTCCAGGCCAGTAGGGCAATCCACCTGCCCTCACCCTATACCCAGTGGAGTGATGACACCACCTTCTCTTCAGGTGACACCCCAATTTTCCGGTGCCGCCTACATTTTTTGGAGTGACACCCGTGCTGGGAACCCCACCCGGCTCTAATGCTGCTTCCCTCACTGAGTCACTTCCAACCCTACCAGGCCTGCTGAGGGGAGACTTTGGTGACTCAAGTATCCAGACCCCCAGCTCTTTCACCTGCAAAAACCCAGCTGCCCTGAATCCTGGACCTCCCACCACCCACTTAGGGAGGCAGCATAGCCCAACCCAAGTCTGAACCCTCCCAGGCCCTCCTTCAAACCTGGGAGTCTGTCCCACTCTCATGCCTATTAGGGGCTAGTGATCAGGCCCCGGCCCTGCCCCTGCAGACCCAGCATCCTCTGCTCTGTACGGAAGCAGAGTCCTGGACACATCCACCTCCTTCAGAACCACAGCTTCTCAGTTCCCAGCCTCCTCCCTTCCCAATTTGAAGGTGGGGTGAGGTTTGTTTATTTACTTTGGTTCTAGCATGAGTCACCCCCAAAACACACTGCCCCCCCAAGTGCCATATGGTGCTGAATGGAAGGACAATGCCCCTCTCCCAGCAAAGAAGGGCCTCCTTTAGGATGATGGGAGAAGTCCTGGAAAGGGTGCCCACACCACTCTCTCTGGCGCCTCACCCTTTCTCCTCACCCCTTTCCCTTTGCTGAGCGGCCCCTCCATCTACCTGCCTCTCTGCCTGTCCACCTGTGTGTCTCTCTTCTCTGAATCTCTGACCCCCCTCTTGCTAATTCCCCCAGATCTTTGTGCCTCGCTCTCTGGCTCTGCACTTTCTCCATCTCTGTGTCTTCTCCACTCTGCCCTTCTCTCTCTTCCTTGCCCACTCCTCTCTCTCTATGTCCACTCCCAGCTTCTCATTCATGGACACCCCTCTCTGAGAAGGGGGGAGGCTGAGAGGGATAGGGGACGGAGCAAGAGGGAGGGGAAGTCCAGATGGGGGGAAGACAGTCAGCCAGACCGGCTTGGCTACCTGGCACCTCGGTCAGAGCCCCGCCCAGGACCTTGTGGCCCGCCCGGAATATAAGCAGCTGCAGCTCCAGCCGAGTCAGAGAACTGTGTCCCTGTCACCTCTGTGTCTGTCACCGCCATCGAAGACTGCAGGTAGGTGCGCTATCCACAGCCTGCCGCTGAGGCAGGCGGGTGCCTCTGCTCTATTCTCCCCCACCCCACTCCACTCGCATCTGTCTGTCTGCTTGCACTGCTCTGTCTATCTGTCTCTCTGAAGAGCTGCTCTTTCTCAATGCTCTTGGGTTCCACCTCTTCTCACCTTGAGTAGCACTGGGTTGAAATCGGGAGTCTTGGGGTCTAGCATGTTCTCTACTAGCTCTCTTGACCGGAGTCATCAGCTGTGGGGCATTTCTCCTCACCTTTCGCTCTGCCTCAGTTCTGTCTGTCAAATGGGCTTACAGAGCGGTCCAGTGCCGCGCAGGTGTGAGCATCCCCGGCAGCATCTCTGTGGACGCCTGCCTCTGATCCCTTTCTCCCCTGTCTCTGATTCTCGGTGGGTCTCTCCAGCTCTTCCTCTGGTACAAGTGGGGTCCTCTGGGATCTGTCGGGCAGCTGTGTAGTGATGGGCGAGCCTCTCGCCCCCATGCCATCCACCCCTACTCCCTGTCTCTCCTAGCTGGCAGGCTGACTTGGCCTCTCTCTCCCCAGCTCCCTTCCCAGTGAGAACCCAGCCCCCAGTGCCCCTGCCCCTCGTCCTCCCCTCCCCCAATATCCAGCATCCCTTGGACAGATTCTGCCGCTGTCACCGCTGCCACCTCTGCCGTCCCCAACACCACCTCCTCAGGGCCAGCAAGATGCAGTATGAGATGCACGACCGCGTGAAAGGCAAAGGTGGGATCGCTGGATGGACTGGCAACCTTCCCCTCCCCTGGGCACCCTGACTTCGAAGACAGATGGCACCTGCTTGCACCCCAGAGGTCCTCCTGAAACGCAGGAACACAGCACCCCAGGCCCAGAGGTGGAGGAGGCAGCGGCACTTCTCGGCCTGCCCAGATGTGGCACCTACCCTTCCCAAGTGCAGGAGCCCCCAGCCCCAACTCAACATCACAGATGTGCAGGAGCCAGCGGCAACTGGGATGCCCAGACATGGCAGCAGGGGATGGAAGGGCTCAGGAGTGTCCCCTCAGGGGGGCGGCCTAGTGGCTCCGCCCAGACTGCCCGGCAGAGGGAGGCACAGTAGGGGTGGGGTGAGGACCAGGGAGGCCCTGGGAGGCGCCTGCTGATCCCTGTGCCCTCACCTCTGCAGCCATGTCCTACCCAGTGACCACCCAGCCCCAGTGCGCCAGCAACAGCTGCTACCAGACCCAGCTCAGTGACTGGCACACTGGTCTCACGGACTGCTGCAACGACATGCCCATCTGTGAGTGCCCGCTCGGGGCTCCAGTCTGAGGGAAGGCGGGGAGGGGTGGGGGGAAGAGACTGTCACCTCCAACCCCCCCTCCACCGCGACTCCCGACCAACCCCACTCCCCCCTCCTTTCCTCAGACCCTCAACATTCTCTGACCTCAATCCTCCCCTTCGAACCCTCAACCTCCCTTTTGCACCCTCAACATTCTTCGCTGGGACTCCAACTCCCCTTTCAAACCCAACTTCCCAAACTCTAAACCACGCCCTCCTCGGACCTCAGGGTCCCTCTGGGACCCTCCGAAGCCTCGCAAGGACCCTCAGCCCCGCGGGCCCCGCCCCTGATCCTCCGGCCTGCTCCCCAGGTCTGTGCGGCACCTTCGCCCCGCTGTGCCTCGCCTGCCGCATCTCCGACGACTTCGGCGAGTGCTGCTGCGCGCCCTACCTGCCCGGAGGCCTGCACTCTCTCCGTACCGGCATGCGCGAGCGCTATCGCATCCAGGTGCGGGGTCCGGAACCCATGGGAGCAGGTGCTAGTCTCCTGGGACCTAAAGCAGGGCTTCTAACCGCTCTCTCCCATCCTCTAGGGCTCCGTCGGGCACGACTGGGCGGCCCTCACCTTTTGTTTGCCCTGCGCCCTCTGTCAGATGGCGCGGGAACTGAAGATCCGAGAATAAAGAAGTTCCCTCTCTTCCTGCCCCGCTCTCCCCCTTCTGGAAGGGCCTGCCCCAGCCGCTTCTAGAAATACACCCATAATAAAAACCTGAAAACCCACTCCGCCTACATCCTTTTTGTCCCAGGGCAGGAATCTGGGTGGAGAGGAGGTTTGATGAGAAGGTGGGGACACAGAGAAGAGGCCTAGGTGTGGAAGGAGAAATTCTGGAGCTAAGTCAGATTTCTGACCCTGACCTGCTCTGTAGGACACTGACAAGTCTCTCCCCTCTCACAGCCAGGGTGTCCTCACTAACAAAAGTAAGGCCACTAGCCAATCCCTTAGCCCCTACCAGAAACTCTGCTTGGATCCTGAACATAAGCAAACTCAGAAAAACCATCTTGGGCAGAGACCACATACTCAAGTTCTGAGAAAAAGCGTAGGAGGCTGTTTTTTCATTCAAAACCTATGGGCCTTTGGCCTACACACAATTCAGATAGGTTGTGGGGGGGGGGGGGTCGTCAATCTCTCCAAAGCAGAGGAATGCCAGGATTAAGGCATTCCAGAGCTGAAAGGAATCCTAAGGCTCAGCCAGTTCAATCCACTCTATTGCAAAAGCAACTGGTAGATAAGAAAATGATCAGGTCTCAGAATTAGACAGACCTGGAATCCAGTCTTGACTCTTGCCACTTCCTGTGTTATCTTACTGAATTAATAAACCTTTCTGAGCCTGTTCCCTCCTCCTCCAAGAATCTTTAATATGTCATGTGGTTACAGTGAGAACAAAACATGGGGCAGATGGAGAGGTCAAACAGCAGACTCAGTAAACTGTTGCTGCTGTTAGTATTATTATATCACATATAATATCAAAATAGTATAACTGTCTCATATTAATATTTTTATTTCTTGCTGTCTTTGTTCTTTTTCCTCCTCATCATCCCCCTCTTCTCCCTCTGCTCACATGTCATCTTAGGAGAGGCGTCCCTTCCCATCTGACAGAAAATGACAAGAACCAGCTCCCTGTCCCCCTCCTCATTGCCTTGTGCTTCTGGTCATCTTCCAACAGATCTCATAACCTATCAACACTCACCAGCAGGCTCCCCCCTGGCTTGTTCAGTCTGTGAGGGCGGAGACCTTGTTCATAGCTGTATTCCCAGCACCCACTGACAGCAGCGTGGGCCCCCTGGAGGTGGAGAAAATGTGTGACCACAGGTGACAGACCCTGACTTAAAAAAAGGAAGTGATTTTAAAGGTAAAGGAGGAGGTGGGTAGTGTAGTCAAGCTGTGTGAGAATCTGGGCTCACCTGTCAATGAACCCCAAGTTCTTAGGCAAGTGATGTAGCTTCAGTGACCAAAAATGGCAGAACAAGCCCGCACCTCCAATGGAGATATTAGAAAGATTAAGAGACTCATGCTGAGCTACTGGCACTGTGTCACAGTGCTAGAGGCCCTTCCTTGGTAACATTTCCCACCTCCGCCCCCTTCCTGAAATCTCTCCAGCATGGGCCAGGATCCAGGCCTCTAGCCTCCCTTGGCCAGGCTTGCTCTCACTTTACCTGGAGCCTCTTCCGTTACAGAGCATAGATACAGCTGAGGCGCTGATGTAGAGATAGGAGGCACACATGTTACAGGGTATCAGGACAGGGGCATCCACTCAGCTGTGACAGGACTTGGGGGCGGGTGACTCCACATCCCAGACAGAAGGCCCATTCCCAGTGCAAAGGCCTCATGTAGGCTGCCCATGCCACCGGGGATGGCTAGCAAGAGACCTTACCAAAAGGACCAAGTGCAACGTGGAGGAGCAGAGAACTACCTTCACTCACTCCTTCCTGATGGTGCAGGGAGAACCTTCCACCGGCCCGCAGACAACATGAGGCAGATGTCTTGCTGAGGGTCAGCAACCCATTTGGGAGAGCCTGCCTTATTCCAGGCAGAAAACAGCTATTTTTAACACCTTTCTCCTTCCTGGGAGGCAGAAGAATCTACTAGTCAGACACGTGGATTTGAGGCAGCCTGGGTCCTGATGGCTTCTCTCACTCCACAGCTAAATGACGTCTAGGAACTTCAGTTTTCTCATGTGCAAAACGGAGATTACATAGCTGTCTCATACGGTTGTTGGAAAGATCAAATGAAACCACAGCTCTAACAGTCTTTGTAAAGATCAAATAAAACCACAGCGTGGGGGCCGCCCCGGTGGCACAGTGGGTTGAGCGCAGCGCTGTGAAGCTGTCTGCAGCCCCTGCAGCGCAGGTTCGATTCCCCGACAGCCAGGGAGATAATGCATATGGCTGGCAGACCTCTCCTGTCTTGCCCACTGCTCCCCTCAGCGGTGTATTTCACTCAATCTGCCTGTTTTGCTCCCCACTCTGTCTCTGGTGAATTCCCTCACCCTCCTTTGTCTCTGGCCTGTACCCCAGTTCTTGTATAAAAATAAATAAATCTTTAAAATAAAACAACAATGAAAAAAAAAAACACCACAGCGTGAAGGTGCCAAACACACTGGCCAGACGCAAGGTACGCAGTATAAACTCACAGGCCTGGCAGGGAGGTTATGTCCTGCCATTAGCTCGTGGAGGCAAGGTGGGCAGAGTAATCCCACAAAAGCTCTTCAAAGGTCCAGAAAGTCTGAAAATGCTGTGATATTCACAGCCCAGCCCCAAGACCCACACTCCCTTAAGCTCAGCTCATGACCATGTTTTGGTTAAAGTCAGATGTAGCTGGGTTTATGTTACATTGTTTAACATTCCCAGTGAGACTCCTCTTTTGCTGAGTTGAGTAGGGTTGACTGAGGGGATGCTGCTCTCCCACTCCCACTGTCCTAGGGCCCTTGTTTGCCCAGGGTACATGCAGATAAAAGGGCCTGAAGCCCCAAGTTTGGCCCGGAGAGAGTCCTCCTGAACTAGAGAAAGCGCATCGTGCTGGGGCCTCATCTCAGTCTGTGCCCATAAGTCAGAGACCTGAAGAAAACCTGAATCTGAGACCACTGCAATGTCTCCCCTCCTGAGACAAACTGGGGTCTCCCACGTGACAGGAGGGTCCACTGCCCTCATCATCCCTTCATTTCATCCCTTCTGAGGAACAAGAGCTTCTATCATAGCACCCCCACCGTCTGCCCAGGAGGGGGCAGTGAGGAGCCCACCCAGGTCACAGAGTTTGGAGGGTCATCAAGATGAGGCCATTTGCCCAAGTATCCAGTGCTTGCATGCTGGTTCGGAGCAGACAACCGCCTGCATGCAGAGAACGCTGGGACACCAGGTCTCCCCCACACACTTTATTGTTGATTCAATCACTCCCCCTCTTCAGGCTGCTCTGTCCCCTGTAGAAAGGAAGATACAGGCAGGGCCCAGCTCCCCAAGGTCCAAAAAGGCAGCCAGGATAGAGTCTTGGGAAAGATAAGCCCCAAGTTCAAGATGATCAGAATGGGGGGAGGGGTGCCTCAAAGGGGAGAGCAGCTCCGAAGTCCACAGTGGTGGCTGGGGTGGGGAGCAGGCTCCAGGGAGAGCCCAGAAGTCTTCAAGGCAGCATCATCCGGAAAGAGAGCCGTATGCTGAATACGCCACCATTTCTATCTCCACCTTTGGTATCCTGCCCCCTCCATGCCCTACCCCGCCCAGGGCAGCAGGCAGCACCTTTGTCTTCTGGCACTCCCTCTGGACCAGGCAACCCTGGCAGGGGTCAGCTGACACCACCTGGGCTTTGTCTCTCCAGTCTAGTAGGGGCAGCAGCTTGCTTGTCCTTGCTCCTCCTTGCTTGTCCTATCCCCCTCTTCTCAGTCACATCTCGCTCCACACAGCCAGTCTCCTGCACTCAGGCCTTCCCGCAGAAAACACTCAGTGGTTTCTGCTGGCCTGGCTTGACATGACTGAAGGGAAGTCTAAAGGGCATTTAGGTCTAAAACTGGACTTCTGATGAGCCCCACAGGCCCTAGTCACCTTCATCTTAAATGACCCGCCATGCACCCACCACTGGGGCCACAAAGTTGGGGGTCTTCCAAGATTCCTCTCCTTTCACCCTGACATCCACACCATGGTTACATCCTTCCACACACATCTGTCCCTGAGCCCCTCACCTTGATCTAACCCATCATCTCCTGTGCCTCTGCCACCTCACAGCAGTCTGACCTCTTAAACAGGCACATCAAACCCTGTCATGCTCCCTCATAAAACCGCCTCATGGTGTCCCACTGCCTGAGGAAAAAAAATCCAAAGCCCTGGTGATCTGGCCTTCGCCTGACCCCAACCTCATCAACCTCATCTCCTCTGCGCTGGGTCTGGGCCACACAGGCAGCTTTCTCACCCCTCCATTAAAACCACCTCAGGGCCTTTGACCCAGCAGTTCCCTCTGCCTGGAACCCACTTCCTGCAGCTTTTCCCACAGCCAGTTCCTTCCAGTCTAGCTTCTCCGAATGTCCCACGGACTTCATCCTGCTATCCCTCACAGCCACATCCAGTCGACACCTCTAGGCACTACTCCATCAGGAAAGGAAGGATCTTTCTTGTGTGCGTGTGTGTGTGTACACTGATTATCTCCCTTTGCTACAACTTAAATCCCAGGAGATCGGGATTTAACAGGCCTTCAACAGCGCCTGGCACACAATAGATATTCAATAAATAATTGAGTGCAGAACAAAGAAGGCCCTGCCTAGGGGCCCCTGGGGGCAGGGAGGGAGCCAGGGGTCTCTGAGAACACAGCGTCCAGGGATCCCAGGTGGCGGGACCCCAAGTCCTGGGTGGCCCCATCAAGGGACATGTATACGAGACTGAGGATCCTGCTACAGGTCAGAGGGACATGCTAGTGAGGTTGTCCTGACTCAACAGTCCCTTCCGGCCTGCACCCGCCCCATGCCCACTGCCCCCTGCCCCCCCACTTCCTCCACAGTACTCGTGCAGCCGGTGCCGCAGCGTGACAAGGGCTGACCCCAGGCAGGCGCCATTGGGCGCATGGGGCCCACCGGGCAGCTGGAGCAGCAGTGTGGCCACCCCAGCCATGCCATCTTCTGTGGGCTCGAGGGTGATAGGCCCGGCTCGCAGGCCAGCAGTGGTGGAAGGAAGGGCTGGAGGACAGCAGCCCCCTCCCACTGGTCCCCAGGGCCCACCAGCTCCTGTCAGCAGCAGGGGTGCCAAGAAGGGTTCAGAGCGGCGGAAGGTGGGTGGCGGGAGCCCCGCTGGCTTCCAGGCAGGGGCCAGGGCAGCAGGGTCGGGTGGGAAGCAGACGGTAACCTTGGCAAAGGGGCGGCTGGCCATCTTGGTCATCTCTTGCAGGTGCCGACGCTGCTCCTGCCGCTGGTCCAAGGCTTGCTTGGCCTTCCAGAGGAGCACGCAGAGCGAGAGGAAGAGGAAGAAGCAGGAAAAGAAGACGGAGAAGAAGACAAACAGGTCAATGTGGGCCTGGTCCTGCCGGAAGAAGAGCAGGCCCTGCGAGTCGGCTGAGCCATTGGCACCAGGCCCGTTCGGGTCCCCCACGCCCAGAAGTAGCAGGTAGAAGCGGCTTGACTTGAGGGCGTGGTGCTCATGTGGGTAGGTGATGACCAGCCGGTCCCGGACACCTCGGACCACCAGCACCGCCGACGGCTCTGTCACTGTCACGTAAGTTATCAGGCCCCTCGGCCACACCTCCCGCACACGGGGCTCCACTGAGGTGCCTGGCCCACTCCCGGCCCCTGGTCCCCCAGGATCCACTGCTGCCCGGGGTCCCCCATCGGCAGGGGGTGGAGGCGGTGGAGGGGGCGGGGGAGGCTGGATATGCACAGTGTGGACGCCCGTGTCTGGGGCCACGCGGACCACGAAGGTATCATAGGAGGTGGACACGTAGAGGTCGACAGCACCGAAGGTCACATCCAGCGTCAGACGGATGTCCACATTGGTGAACTTGGGCTGCACGCCAAAGAGGACAGTGCGGCCTGGGCCCAGAGCCCGGCGCTTGGGCTCATGGAAGCAATTGGTCTGAGACGTGGGGTCCAGGCAGCACTCCTGCTCCACAGAGATGAGGCGGTAGCACTGCTGGCCACCCAGTGGGCTCCCATGGAATGACTCTCGGCACTTGGCACACTGTGGGCAGGGTAAGGGTAGAGGCAGCCATCAGGGCTGAGCTCAGTGTCTGGCCAGCCTCCAAGAACATTTTGTGCCTACTGGTTAAGTGTCTACCGGCAGCTTCCTTGTGATCCCCTGGACCTCCCTGACAGTGCAGGGACCACCAGAACCCTACACTCCAGCACCCCGCCCCTCCCAGTGTCCACAGTGCCCTGAAGGCAAGGCCTAAGGAATAGAGGCACAGTGAGAGGCTCTGTATAACCCTGGCTTGACCCCCTCACTGGCTGTGTGTCCTTGGACTGGTGACTTAACCTCGCTGAGCTGGAGATTCCTCCTCTGTACACAGCAGTAAACAGGCTCACTCACAGGACTGCTGAAATCTCAGGCACAGCCCAGGGTAGGCCAGCCTCGCCTAGCAGCCTGGCTGTTTCTGGACTGTGTTAGATATGTCCTGCCTTGGGGCCTTTGCACTGGCCGATCCTCTGTCTGGATGGCTCTCCACACACTCCCCCCAAAACAGCTTGTCTGACATCCTCCCTTACATCAGGTCTTTTACTTGAATCACCTTCTCGCCAAAGCCCTCCTTGACCACTGTCTACCAATTCCACTCCCCCACACACCCCAGTTCTCCTTTCTGCTTAATTTTTCTGCTTCCTGCTCATGACTAACATACTGGTATTAGTCTGTTGCCTGACTCCTTCATGAGACTGTAAATTCCTTGAGGACACATCACCTTGCCTGTTTGCTCCCTTTCGTGTCCCAGTACCTCACGGTGCCTGGCATATACAGCCATGTGTCACTTACTGGGGCCGCCTTCAATCACTTATATAGCCAGGCCACATCTAGGCCACATCTGTTAATATGACAGTGGTCCCAGCAGGCCGAACCCTCTAGCCTAAGTGTGAAGTAGACTCTACCATGTAGGTTTGTGCAATTACACTGACGTTCACGCAATGATGAGATCACCTAATGCATTTCTAGTTTCTAATTTCCCATTGTTAAGGCAGCGTGACTGCCGTAGGTGCTCAGTAAATATGTGGTGAATGACTGAGTGACGGGCAAGCGCTGCTCTGACCCCTGCAATCCAGTGGCAACCACCCAGGCTCTGGGACCAGACCGGGAGCAGGGATCCAGACCCATTGGTGGTCTGACCTAGGACAGTACATGGAAAGTCTAAGCCTCAGCCATGCCTCACTACGCCAGGTACAGACTTGACACGGTTTCTACATCTACGCTGTCTCCACGGCCAGCACCAGCTCGGTTTCGGGCACTCCCGACACAATGGCCACTACTGCTGTCACTGTAGGAACCCAGAGAAATTGCTGCTTCTGAACTGCAGGAGGAAGAGGTGTGGGTTAATCTCTGGGCTGTTATGGTAAAGGCCAGGAGACCTTTTGATTATATATCAAGGAAGCAAAAATTCTGGCCTGAGATAGAAATGCTGGGAGACAGTGAAGCTTGTAAAACTTTGTCGCCATTTTGGATGGAGTTGCATCTTTGCAAATCGGATGTTTCTGCAGATAGGTGGGGGAGACTGAGGCAAGCAAGGGATTTTCTCTTCCTTCTAGAACTAGTTGCACTCCAAACAGGAACACAGGCTATCCTTTCCGTGGGAGGCAAGCCTGCGATATAGCAACCAACCAGGTGGCCAGTACAGGGGTTCCAGCAGCCCCCGAAGGAAGAAAAGAGAAAGGGATTCAAGGAGAATTTGAATCTAGGTATTAGAAATGATATGAGACCCCCTTAGCTCCAGGCCATCAAATGGGGGTTACTGCTTGGGGGAAACCTGCCCAAGAATGAAGCCAATACAGAGGAAAGTAGAGTTAAGATGAAAGGAAAGAGATTCCTACTGCTGCTGTTTGAGCTCCTAGATCCAGCTGTTCCTGAAGGTGGAGTACAGACCTCCACTCTGAGAGTCAATATGTTTTCTTAAGGTACTGAGATTGGTTTCTGGGCAGTTTCACCTCTAACTATCTGTAATGGAGTCTGTCTCTTCAGTCTGAAAGGGCTCCCACAGGCTCATTTCTGGATCCCCAGTATAACTGCCCAAAGCCAGAAACTGGACTCAGAAACTGTCTATCAAGCTACCTTGATCCCCAAGAACACAAATATCAGGGCCATGTTGTCAGGGCTACTTCATCCTCCATCCCCCTTGGGGGCGTAGGACCCTTAGCTCATAACTGGCTTCTCAGCCGCACCTGGTACTTGTAGCAGTCTCGGCGGTCGCTTGGGGAGCTGCCCTGGCACGTGCCCGTCTCTGTGTTGTTCTGACATGGGCAGCCCGTTCCATCCTGCTCGTTGCATGTGTCTGCATGCCCGTTACACTGGCATCTGAGGGGAAAGAAGATGGAGGTCACAGAACTCCCAGGACTTCCTAGACTGATGCTGTATATGTGAGTTTCAACCCGTACCACAGGCCAGAGAGGAAACTGAGGCTCACAAAAGTCAAGCAGTTTGCCCAGGAGCACAGAGCTGTCAGGTAGCAGGGTCGCATTAGAGCCCCAATGGACTCAGAGCCTACTGACCAGGGAGAGGGCATGGGATAGAGATGTCCTGAGGCTTCTCCCTCAGTGGCCCTCCGTCTGCCCACCAGTCTTCACCAGGGCAGCCAGTAGCCTGCGTTTTGGCACTGGCCTGCGGGGTCAGGAGTCTCTCAACTAAGTTCAGCTCACTCCCCACTTGCCCTGCCCCAGCCTGGGATTCCCTAGGGATTTCCTGCTTCCTGACTAAGGGCCAGGAGGTCTGGCTTCCCACAATAATCCCAGCGAGCAGGGCAAGTGTCCCGGCCCCTCCTCTCACTTGGTGCACTTCCCGTCCAGGAGGAAGTAGCCATGGAGGCAGCTCTCGCACTTGTCCCCGTAGCTGTTATTCTGGCAGTTCACACACACGGCCTCATCTTCACTAGGCCCCTCTGTCACCCAGTTTTCAATCTGGTCAAGGAAGGACAGGGGGATCACCAAAAGGCTAAGGCCAGTCTCCTCTTCCCTCAGACCCAGGAATCAGGCCCTGCCTCTTTCACCTCCTCTGGATCCAGTGAGTACTTCTCTGGCTCCCTCCTGGCCATTTCAAGCTCCTTCCTGGAGACACAGACGTGGCTGTTGCCGCGACAGAAGGCATGGCAGGGTCGACAGGTCCCGCCCCCCACGGCTGAACCAACAAACAGCGGAAGACACTGCTCACAGTGGCTGCCCTGGAAACCAGCAAAGGGCAGTCAGAGGGGCTGGAGAAACACGGGGTATGGGGATGCAAGGATGGTGAGGGGGCGGGTTCTGAGGACAATGGGAGGGCTTAGGGGCTCAGGTCACCCCAACCAGTCTGCGAATTAGCCTGCCTTCCCTCACACATTTCCAGTGATGGGGGTTCACTCCCTCTACTCTCTGTCAGATGACAAGTCCAGGACACAAACTGGACAGTGTCCCCAAAGTATTCTCAACCTCCCTGGGATAGCACTGTGTGGCCTCCTCCCTGTCCCTGACTTATTGATGTGCCTAAGTGTGGCTGAAGGAGGGGCTCAGTGCCCTCAGTTAGGCATGAGATCTGAGACCCACCTTGGTATGGTTGCGGCAAAGCAGGCAGTGGTCACGGGCCCCCACGCCGGCGCACTCGCTGTGGCGATTGCAGCGACACTCGGTGGAGCAGTTGCGGCCAACAAAGCCGAAGTGGCAGCGGCAGTGGTCAGGCTGCACACACGAGCCATTCACGCAGCCCTGGGCACACACGGGGCGGCACAACCCCGTCACGCTGTAGGGGTGGGGTGGCAGGTCAGAGCAGGGCAGGGGCCCCTCGTTTCAGCACCCAGCTCGGCCCTGGTCTGTCCCTGACTCTCCCCACATTGGGGCCCTGTCCACCAGCTCCTCCAGGAGCTAGCCAGAGATCCCCACTCTTCCTGTGGCCCCCCCACTAAACTTACCTAGGAATTGAAGCCCCTGCACTTCCCTGCCCCCCCTCCCTACCGGCCCATTCCTGGAGGACTCCCAACTTCACACCTTGGACCCTGCTGTCTTTGGCCCAGTCTCATCTGGTACTGCTCCCCAGCGTCCCACCCAGCCTGTCCCAGCCTGCTCCCCCAGGCCCCTGGGTCTGGCTGCAGCCTTACTTATCCATAGTGTAGCCCGTCTTGCAGCTGCACTCATAACCGTGAGGCCGGTCGTGGCAGTTCTGTGTCTCGTTGCAGTCGTGGTGCCCATTGGCACACTCATCCTCAGGGGGGCAGGCCAGGAAGGCCCAGGATGCCCCAGAACGCCCACACATCAGCCCTGCACAAGGATGGAGGACTTTACCTGGGGGCCTTTACCCAGCCACCCAAACCTTGGCTCTTACATCCCCCAAGTGCCACTTCTGGGACAGCCCCTACCCCAATGTTCTCTGCCAGACTCCAGTCAAAGGTCAGCCCCTCTGCCCCACCCCTGCATGCATCTTACCTTCCCGGGGGCCGCTGAGTCCACCCTCCAGGCAGCGGCCACCCCCGTCCTGGCCCCCCCAGGCACACCAGCCACAGTGGGGGCGCCGAAGGCACAGGGCACACTGGGTAGCCTGGGCACAACCCAAGGAGCAGCTCTCGGGGCCTCGGAGCAGCCGCCCACAGCCTCCAGCCATACATCGCAGGGGCAAGTAGGAGGGGCTCAGACACTGTCAGGGAAAGAGGGGTGGACAGATGCATCTGGTATCTTCCCAGACTGCGCCCTCTTCTGGGCGATCACACCTCCCCTGGTCACAACCAGGTGGACAAAGTGAACATTGGCTGGGGTCATCCTCTCCCCCCAAGCACTTCTAACTAGAATTCTGAGCTGGCTAGAATCATCCCTAAAACTTAGAGGATTGTATTAAGCAAGGATACCTGGATGAGTGAATGGCAGCAGATGGAAAGAACAGACAGTGATAGGCAAAGGGCAGAGGCAGAAGGAAGCAGAGGTGAGACTACACACCCAGGGGCAGTGGAGGCAGCTGTCTAATCAGTTCCAGTCCCTTGTAAGGCCTGGCTGCACTTTCCACCCAGGACCCCAAGAGGCACCACTGTGTTCATCTGAGTCCCCTTTATGCGCCTGGCAATGACCCCAGGTAGAGACAGAAACTAGTGCTGGGAGGGGGCCGCAATGTTTGGCAAAAAAAAATGGGCCTGCTGCTGGGGCACCAGATTCCTCCCACCCTAGGCTGGGAAGCTAAGGGGTGCGTGGTTGGCCGCATAGCAACTCACAGGCCATCACTCAGGGTGTCGGGCACCCAGACAAGGAGCACAGTGTGGTTCAGACTAGGGCACTTCCCTTCGTGCACAAAAGCACTTCATTTACTGCTCAGGCCTTACGTGCTGTGTGAGAGGAAAGACTGCTCTGGGCTGGTTGCCTGAAAGCACTCAAGCACAGTTCTGAGAGAGAACCACGCACTGCGGCCGAAGCTCTGAGCCCCACGAGGGTTGATGTCTCGAGCACTGAGCCATGAACTGCCCCAGCCAGCCCTGCCAGGCTGGCCTCCACACCTCATGCCAGTGCACCCACCGGCAGATGGCAGCCAGCTGGGAGTGGGGAGAGAGAGCCCCAGTCTGCACAGTGATGGTGCTTTCAGTCATGACCTCTTTAGTGGCCAAATGCAATAATGCCCAAAGCCATAAACTGTTCCCTGAAGAGACAGTTTATGGGAACGTAAGTTCTGAGAGCTGTCTGCTAACCTGTGCCCCCAGCCTAGCAAAGCGCCGAGCCCCAGAACAGGGTACAAGAAAGAATTTGGTGACGGAGGGGAGGAGAGAAGCAAGTCTGAACAGCCAGCGAAAAGAAGGCCCCTGCGGAGCCCAGCCTCTGAGGTCCAAGTCATTCAAAAGCACAACACAGGTGGTTGTGCTTGGCCACCCTGGAGCCAGCTCCTGAAGGTCTGGCTGCACTCTAAGTGCAGGCCTGATGTGTGCGGCAGTGTTTTGTGAAAATCTGGGTTAATGCTTTAACCAAGATATTTCACAGAAGTCAGGAGGCCTGGGGGAAATTCTTTCACGTTCATGCACAGCATCGACTCTGCTCACGGCCCCTCCTCTTCCGCCTGCCTCACCGGGGCAGCACTCTCACCTGGTAGGCCCAGAGCAGCTGGGGCAGTAGCATGCCCCCACAGGCCCTCAGGCGTTGCCTTCTGGCCCTTGGAGTTCCCCACAGAGACGAACACCACAATGGCAATCTCAGTATTTGGAAAGAACCTGGATCATAGAAGGACCCCAGGGCTTGGGGAGGAGGCCACAGGGCAGGGCCGCACTTCGAGGCTGGCGGGGACAGCCCCCCACCCAGCAGCAGTGACCCTGTAGGTGCATCCCAGGCAGTGGAGCCTGATGTCTTCCCAGCAGGAAGGACTTGGGAAAACACTCAAGTGAAAACTCCAGTCCATGCTCTAAAAAGCTTCCCATTTAAGTTGTACAACCATCCAACGTCCTAGTGGAAGGTGCAGCCTTCTGAACAGCGTGGCCCTAGGTGCGGTGTCACCAAAAGACCAAGCATTTGGTTGGGGCCTTCAGCCACATCCACTGAGCTGGGGGTGGGTGCCTGGAGATTGTGCCCCATAAAAAGTCTTAAGCAATGAGCTTCAGAGAGCTCCAGGTTGGCGAACGTGGCCATGGGAGGGGGCGTGCCAGACAGGCAGAAGCTCTGCACCCCACTCCCCACAGCTTGCGCTAGCCATCCCTTTATTTGGCAGCTTCTGAGTTTTATTCTTTATGATAAACTGGTATTCTTTATGATAAACTGGTATGATAAACTGGTATTCTTTATGATAAACTGGTATGATAAACTGCTATTCTTTATGATAAACTGGTATTAGTAAATTATTTTCTGAGTTCCACAGGTTGTTCTAGCAAATTACTGCGCCCAAGAAAGAGGGGGTGTGAATCACTGATGTGTGGCAGATCAGTAAGAAGTACAGGGGGTGCCTTCCCTGGTGGCGCAGCAGTTGAGCACTGGGCTACAAAGCTGCCTGCAGCCTCTGCAGTGCCGGTTCGATCCCCAGCCACCAGCGAGGGTCCCACATGGCGCGTAGACCCCACCCTGGCCCCGTCTCCAAGGCTGGACCCCTAACTCGTGGGCTAGAGTCTACCTCGGGAATGTGAGCTAACCAATGAACAAAGATAACGGTCATCTCTGGAATTAGTCTCAGTCTGGGCTTAAAGGTCGCCACTTTGGCTGTGTCCGTCAATGATCAAGCCAAGAGAAATCAGGAGATGGAAACATGTAGAGAATAGCTGTGATGCAGGCCGTGTGAGCGGAAGATGATGGAGTACTTCCTATGTCAGGTGCCACCAAATGCGCCCAGTTCCTTATACTACTACTAACACAAGCCGCTATAATAAAACCAGCACAAGTGGGTTCCATCTCTTTCAACCACAAGTTCCAAAAGCAGAGAAAAGAGATGGAGAAGGGAAGCCAGAGGCTTGGGAGGGAGGAGGGAAGACGCTAAGGCTCATGGAAGGGAGGGGCAGGAGGCAGAAGGGAGCTGGACCCAGATGCTGAAGAGTCCAGGAGTCCAGAACTGGCAGGGAGACTCAGGTGAAGGAAGAAAGTCACCAGGAGGAAAGGAAAGAAAGTGGGAGGACAGAGAAAGTTCCCTGGAGGGGCCAGAGCTGGCAGATGGGGCAGGAAGCAGGATGGAGGAAAGGCGGCAAAGAAGGGCAATGCAGGCAGAGAGGAGGGTCCCCTGGACACCAGCGAGTACCTGTTGGAGGCTGCTGCTCCAGACGCAGTGCTGCCAGCCCCCGTCAGCACCCTTGGAGTCCAGGCAGGAGGAGCAGTTTGGCAGGAGGTGACAGGGGGTGGGGCAGGGCAGAGGGGGCGATGACTCCACTGGCATCGGGGACACGTTGAGCAGAGAGTGGCTAAAGCATGTCCAGTCATAGGTGGGCTGCACTGAGAGGATGCGGCGGGTCTCCCCTGGGGTGGGGGCACAGGAATGAGAACCTGCTCGGACTCCAGCCCCCTTCTCACTCAGCCCAGGAGTCCAGGCCCTCAAACGCTCCCCTCAGGGACCAAGCCTGGGCTGACCTGTCCTCTTGAACTGCCGTGTCCACATGCACTTGCCCTCCCTGGTGCACTGCTCGCAGTCAGCCGCCCCGCACGCAGCCTCAGAGCAGTTTCCTGCCCAGAAGACCTCTCGCTGGTTGATCCGACAGTCATTCTCCGAAGTGCAGGACCCATTGCGCCCGATGCAGGCACCCTCGGGGCAGTTGGTACACCACTTACAGCGGGGGGCAGATGCCTGGCAGGAGCAGATGGCTCAGCTCAGTGGGGTGCTCGGGGCCACAGCACCCCTCCTGACCCAGCACTTCCCACCCATCACAGCCTTTGGGCTTGGTACATCTAGAAATGCCCTTCCAGCCCTGCCCAGTGTCACTCACCTCTCCATCTCCTGGCTGCAGGGTCCGGGGATGGCGGGCCAAACACTCACTGCAGGTCCGGAGCCGGCGACATTCCTCTGGAGAGCGTGGCATTGGGGAGCAGGGTGGGCCCCCACAGCCCAGCCTGGGGAGGCAGGAGGCTTGGCTCATCACTCCCAGCCAAGCCGCACCCTCCTCCCCATGTACCTCCTCTTTTGGTGCCTCCTGAATCTGCAGGCTCCCCAACGTAGGCCCAAACCTGCTCTGCTCCCACCCCAGCTGGTGAAGGTCCTCTGTATACTTGTCACCCTGTCTTGAAACATGGCACATCTTCCTAACCTTCCAGCTACCATGGCCTCTGCTTCTGAATTTCTGACAGTCCTCTCCTATCTGCCCCTGCAGTCTCTCCTCAGCCTGGTCCTTTAAGCCCGCCCCAGCCTCCCCATGTCTCCACCTGCAGCCTCCCCTTCTCACTCCCACCCCATCCCTCACAACTGCCCCAGGGGTTTTCTGCCCAGGGCTTCCCCTGCCCTCTCCCGCTCAAACTTTCCCTGTCTGCTCAACCCATAAAGGAGGCCTACAGCCCCTTACCCCACATCCTTGAAGATCCACGTGTTTCAGAACTTTCCAGATTTCAGGAAAGCAGTGGGTGCACCCACTATTACATAGCAGCCCTAGCAATGCTGGGGAGCACTCCATAACAAACCCATTAATATTAATACACACAGTGTTTAGTGGGAAAAACAAAGCTCGTCCGCTGTCTCACATCAGGATGCCATGCAGCCCGGCACCACCCAGTAGGGTGCTTGTAGCTTCCTGAGGTGTTTGGATTCCCAACCACTTGTGAGGGCTCAGTGAGCTGGAGGCCCTGGAAGCCCCTCTGGAGTGGCCCCCAGCCCCCACTCCAGTCTCATTCTCCCCCAACGGTCTCTCAAAGGCTTCAGTGCAGCCCCAGTGCCAAACCTCTGCTGCTCTAAACCCCACTGGTCATTCAGGGGCATGGCAGCACCAGTCCTCCAGCCCAGCACATAGCAGCCCCTACACTCAGAGCTCTCCCAGCCACCCCTGTGTCCATTTCCCCACAAGAGCTGGTATCCCAACCAGACTATCCACTCCCAAGATTTCCCCGCAAGCCTGCCCAGGATAGAATCCCCTTCAGAGGGTATGAGTGCCACCCACCCATGCACTGTCAGTCACCATGGTTACCTGTGGGCCTGATCCCCAGATAAGCAGGCCCCGTGGCACCAAGTGCAGGCCCCAGACTGGTTACAAGCTTCAGGTGAGGGCAGCAGGCGGCAGGGGTCAGGGGGCAGAGTGAGGGCGAGCAGGCGGCCCAGGGCCACCCCCCCAAAGCCCCCCGAGATATACAGGCGGTTCCCCACTGCTGCCACGGCATGGGCCACAGATTCTTCCATTGGGGGACCCACAGAGGCTGGGCCTGGAAAAAAAGACAGGGCATTTAGAAGGAGAGAGCAGGAAACGTGGGAAGAGACTCACAAGGAGATGCCAGCCAGAGAAGAACGCTGATCCCAGAACAGCTAAGGAGAGCAGAGGCAGATGGGAAGAGACTAAGCCAGACAGAGCAAGAGAAGCATAATGAAAGCAAGACAAAAGACAGGGGAGACACAAACAGAGCAAAGGGAGAGGGAGAGGGGAATAAGAACGGAGATAGGTGGGCCTCCCTGGTGGTGCAGGGGTAAAAGACAGCACTATTAAGCTACCGCCAGCCACTACAGCATGAGTTTGATCCCTGGCCAGGGAGCTGACTCATATGGTGCAGCAGACCTCTCCTGTCTCGCCCGCTGCTCCCCTCAGCAGTGCAATTCAGTAGATCTGCCTGTTCTGCTCCCCACTCTGTCTCTGGTGAATCCTCTCACACCCTGCACCTCTGGCCTACACCCCAGCTCTTCTACCCAAAAATAAGTAAAATAAAAATCTTTTTAAAAAAGAAAAAGAATGGAGATAGGTAGAGGTAGCCATGTTGCAAGTACTAGCATTTTGCAGATACTAAACTCTGCAGAATCACACGCTTTACAGTGGTTCATTTGTGTTATGTAAATTTCACCTCAATAATTTTTAATCCTCAAAAAAATTAAGAGTTACAGAGCAGTAGAAAATAGAGATTAAAACAGAGACAGACAGTAGGTCAGAGAGAGAAGTAAAAAGGGAGCAGGCCCAGAGACGTACACACAGTCAGTCTGAGCATCGAGTGAAGTAAACAGGCAGAAAATAAGCCCCTTCTCACCAATAAGCAGCAAAGACTGTTAGTGATTGTCTCTAGATGGGGGACAATGGGGTTTTTTCCTTCCAGTTTTACAAATTACATACAATGAATATTATAACTTTTATAATTAGAATAAGAACAAAACTTTCCCAAGAAAAGAAAGGACAGAGGGTATCTTGCTGGTATTTGGGTAACATGGAGGGGACAGGAAGTGAGTACTAATGATTGGGGGTCCGGAGATGGGGTTGGGGACAGGAGAGGCTTACGGGTGAGATCGGGCAGCAGCCAGGCGTTGCAGTTGACCTGGTAGAGCAAAACGTCACTGCTGAACTCATCAGGGTCCGAGCGCCCCCCAAGGACCACCATGGTGTCTCCTAGCAGGGCTGAAGCGTGGAAAAGTCGGGGCCGGGGCTGTTGGAGAGACAGGTGGCAGGGATGGCCTGTCAGTGCCCACACTACTCCGTGCCTCTCAGACCACCCACACCCCAAATCTCCCCACTCCCATAGTTCACCCAATTCTAACCTTCCTCAAATCCCACCCCTGCCCCCAGAACACCTCCTCATAGCAATTCCCAGAGCCACCTCCTTCCCTCCTAACTCCTGAACCCCCATGCCCTGTGATGCTCCCCAAGAATCTAGCTCAGACTGCATGAGATGCCCCCTGTGATCTCAAGTCAACTCTCTGACTTTCACCTCCTCACAGTTCAGCCCCAAGAAGGGCTTGAAAACGTTTATGGATGGAAAACACAATCCTCTTGGGCCATACAGCCACCCCACCATCCCCTTTGGCCTTGAGGGCAGGAAGTGCCATGTTTTTAAGATGGAGAGGTCCAGGTTGGGTGCTGCGAGGGCAATACCGAGTCGGGCAGAACTGGGCAGAATCCAGGCATCTGCCCTCCTGGTCTAGGGTCCTTTCCTCCAAGTTGGGGAAAGTAGGGGAGCGTTGGGGGAGCCACAGTTTGGTTTAGGGGGCTGAAAGCAGAGGGGATAGGAATCCAGAGTGGAACCAGTCTGGGGGCACTGGGAAAGGAGGTCCCCTCCCTCCTGCCCCCCACATTCATGTCTGCAGCATTTTTCCTGACCTTTGCCCCCTGAGAAGGGGCCAGCAGGCTCCAGGTGCGGTCAGGGCAGTGCAGGGAGTAGAGTTCAGGGGATGGGGCCGCCAGTTCCACATGAAAACGGAAACCCCCAAACACATAGAGGGAGTCGGTGGCCTCATGGTACACGGCAGAATGACCATAGAGACCTGGGGGGAGTAGGGGAGAGACGAGTGAGCAAGGAGACTGAGGGGAAAGGTCTGAGATCTTTGATGCCCCCCCACTTCCTGGGCTCCCCTTCCATTACCCTAGTAGGCCCTGACCTAGGAGCCCTTCTCAACCTGTTCTCTCCCTTCCGTTCTAAAGGACAACCATGAGACTCTGGGAAAGAGATGTTGGCGGTCAGAATTGGGGACAGTGACCAAGGAATGTCAAAGGACAGGTGGGAACAGGAGACCTGGGGGGCAGTGATAGAGGACCTGGGGCAGGAAGGTGACCCACTGTTACTAGGCAGGAGGAGGGCAGCTGATCATGGAGTCTGGAGAGCTAAAGAAAGAAACCAAAGGGACAGCACCCTGAGAATTGGGGTGGCAGAAGATGGGGATGACAAGGTTCCAGGACAGTGACCAGTATGGAAGTGGTTAGGGCCCACATGAAGCCCAGAACAGGCGGGAGGTCAAAGGTATTGGGCCCTCCCAGTCCCAAGGCCCACCTGTGGGCGGTGTCCCACTCTGGGCCCCAGACACCCAGGTGCCAGTCGCCAGCTGGTACTCAAGCAGCTGCTGGTTGAAGCCATTTTCAGGGGAGTAACCGCCCACCAGGAGCAGAGACAGGCCTCGGCGGGCAGTAAGGGTGTGACCGGCAACTGCTGGCAGCTCCACAGTCTGAGGGGCCTGAGGAATGGAGGGAAGAGGTCAGGGTGGGTGAGGGGTCGGGAGGCCCTGGTAGGTAGAAGAGATAAGAGCCTCCTACAGTCCCCTGGAACCGCTGAGGTCAGCCCCGTTCTGACCAGCCATGATCCGGGTAGGCACTCAGCAGACCTTGGGCTATCTTTGCCCCTCAGCGCCACTTCAGGTAGCGCCCTCGCTCCTGGCTTTCACTCCAGCTGCATGGGGCTGACTGCCCCACTCCACAGTCTGGCTGACCAGAGCATGGCATGCCCATGGCCAGGGAGCAGCCTAGGATACTGCTGACTTGGATGGTTAGTGGAATTCAGTTCTAGGACTAGTGCTAGAGCCCTGGTAACCATTTCCTCTGAGGGGCAGATCTCAGCGTCCCGTTGTGGGAGTTGGAGAGGGTTGCTTACCTTCTCCTGCCGCCACTGTAGGGTGGTGAGGTTGAGGACCCAAAAGTCACGGGCAACACCACCAGCTGTGAGCCCCCCAAGCAGGTACATGGCACCACGGCCAGAGGACACATAGGCCGCTGCATGGAAGGAGCGAGGTGAGGGGCCTGGACCCCCATCCTCAGCTCCTGCCAGCATCTGTGTCCACCGCCGCTCACTCACTGAATACCTGGGGTAGAAAGGCAAAAAAAGCAGCCTCACTAGTCAGTCATCCCAGCACCCCTGGGGTAACCCCCCCCCAAGTATCCCAGCATGCCATGGGACAACCTCCTGTGACAGTCATCTTTTATCTTACCACACCCCAGAGTGGTACCACCCAAATAAGTATCCAGTCCCTGAGGTCAGTCTCCTGCAACAAGTATCCCAGTACCTCCTGAGGTGACTCCCTCATGCTAGTATCCCACATCTCCAGGGAAGCCCTCACCTGTACAGGTTTCCCAGCAGTCCCTGGGGCAGGCCCAGACCCCCAAACATCCACAAGGTAGCATCAGGTCCCTCCACCATGGTATGCCCCAGGCGGTGCAGAAAGCGGCTAGCCGTGTCCTGGGTGGAAGTGGGTGTGGGGACATGAGTGGTTGAGCTAAGGTCATGACAGTCAGGCTGGATAGGGAAGAATCTGAGGGTGTAGGGCCCAGGAGTAGAGGAAGCTGTAGGATACCCTCCCAAAAGCAGTTTCCACAACTCACAGCTGAGAGGCGGCTGTCCATGAGGGTCTCCCACACCAGCTGCCCTCCGTCCAGCTTTGTGGCACAGTCGGGGCCCCCAAAGCCCTCAGCACAGATGCACACACCCAGACTCTAGGGGACAACAGAAGGGGGCTCAGGGGAGCCCTGTTGGGGCACCCTGTCCCACCCAGCCTGCCCTGTCCCACCAGTACCTGGTTACAAGTTCCTGCCCCACTGTGGGCATTGCAGTTCTCAGGACACAGAGCCATGCGGCAGTGGGGGCCAGCCCAGCCCTGGGGACATCGGCAGAGTCCTGCGCCCGAGGCCCCATCCTGGGGCACACACTCCTGGGGTACAGGGCAGCTTCCAGGGCCCCCTGACCCACAACGGGCAGAGCCCACTGAGGCATTGAAGCCCCAGGATGAGGAGCCATTGGCCTCCCAGTGTAGCACCAGCAGCCCTGTGGGGGGAGAGGCCAGGGTGTTGCAGCACAGCCTCGTTCCAGGGCACCGCTCCAGCCCAGCAGAACTGGGCGGGGAAGCAAGGCACCCTGATAATTTACAGTCCCTGCCATTAGTAACCACCCTCCTGTTCACTGCACGCCCTCTTCCTTGTCCAATCCAAGTTTAGCTGCTTTTAAGGCCTAAATATCTCTCCTGTTTGCCCACACTTGCCCTCTTCAGCTGCCTAGCCTGGTCACCAGTGCCATCTCCCTGTGCCCTTCCTGAAAGCCCGAGGCACTGTCCTTCATAGCAGCCCAAGTGATCCTTTAGGAACTAGAATCTGATCCTGTCCCTGGCAGGCTGCAAGCCCTCCACAGCTCCATCCTGCTCTTACCCAAAACCTAGCCTCTTAGGCAAGCAGAATGGGGGAGGAGGGCAGTTAATTATATGATTATATGTGTAAAACATGTCTCAATAAAGTCTTTTTTTTTTTTTAAAGGAGGCCCCACAGGCCGGCCCTCTGACCTCCACCAGCAACCACTCTCCCAGCCCTACTCCATGCTCCAGTACCACCAGCCCCCTTCCTGCTTCCCAGGGCCTGGGCATCTACATTCCTCCACCTGGAGTCATCGCCCTCCCCCACATAGGGCCCTCTCTTGTGCCTCCTCTTGTCTCTTAGTGAAGGTGACATTATTCTGAGTGTATTTTGCTCCGACAGTGCCTGCGTCTCCTGTTCACTGCGGCGGCCCCAGTGTCCAGCTGTGGCCTGGCTCATTGCAGGGCTCAGGAGAGGATCCCTCAGTGCTAGCTGCTCACTGTGAGGGGCCTGGGGTTGTGTGTAATTCCAGCAGGCCAACTACACTCTCTCCCAACCATGCCCTCTCCCAGGCCTGGAGTCATGCTCAGTTACAATAGGAAGGAAGCGTTTCCAACTCTACTACTTTAACCACCTTGGCTAACATTATTTCCATTGCCTCGCCATCAGACTAAGCTGGCTTTCTCAACCTCTCAGCACTGTTGACGTCTGGGGCCTGGTAATTCTCAGAAGTGGGGACTGTTCCATGCACTGTCAACTGCAAAGCAGAATCTCTGGCCTCCTCCTCCAAGATGCCAGTCTCGCCTTCGATCATGACCACTCAAAATGACTCTGGACATTGCTAAGGAGCCCCTGGGTTGAGAACTATCAGGGAGGGGAGAGTCTCAGCCACATTCCGTGTGCCACTAAGATGTCCTACTGGACCCTTCTCTCCTAAGAGGTAGCCCAGCCAGAGCAATCCTTTCTGTTTGCCTCTCAGCTCAAGAGAGTGCGTCCTAGAGATGGCATCACCCAGCAAGTCAATGGCAGATCGGCCTGGAACCAGCATGGAGCTGGGTCTTAAGCACACCTCAGGCGGCAAGGTGTAGGGGGCAAGGTATATACAGCCCAGGACAGATGTCCCCCCTCCTCCCGACCTCCATACCAGACAGGGCCTGCACAGTGAGAGGCCTGTCCCGCCGCTGGCCGCAGAAGGCAGCAATGAGGCTGCGGTCCGACTGGACGACACCTGTGTCCAGGAAGCGTGGGAATCCATCAAAGGCCAGGACATAGCTCAACTGGAAGGGAGCAGAGTTGAAGATCAGGAGATGACGAGGATGAGAAAGTAGCTCAGGGTCTGGGAGGAGAAGCTCAAGAGGAGCGTGCAATCTGAGACTGGGAAGTGAGCTGTTTGAATATCCTGGGCAGATTGAGAGGTCACCGCCTCCCTGTTTTCACGCAGACATGGCTAATCGACCAGGCACTCTCCATGGAGCCTTTTTCTCAGTATACAGCTCCTGGTGGCCACTACCAATCAATCAGAGTTAGCACACAAGTTATCAATATACCTGCCTGGAATGAGAAAGGGGTGTTTGAGGATCTGGGGAATGGGGAACTGCAGTCCAGAAAATGAGTGGGCCTAGGAACAAAGTGCTGGGGGTCTGAAGAGTAGTGCTTAGCATTTAAAGGATAAAGAAAACATGGACATGGGGGTCAGGGCCTGTCTAAGGATTCTGATTGGGTGAGAGAGACATGGGCTTAAACACTAGTGCTCACCGTGCAGGGGGTGCTGCTGTCAGGGGAGAAGGTGAGGGTGAGTGGGGGACAGAGAGTCCCAGGGGCACAGGGCTGCAGCACCTCAGTGGCGGAGACAACCCACACACAGTAGGACAGGCCTGGCCCGGCTCTTGCAGCCCCGCCACCTGGAGGCAGCAGCCCCCCAACCCGGCGTGAGCCCAACGCCACTGAAGACACATTGGTGAGGAGGGCACGACCCCCACATTCCCGGAAACAGGAGCCACTGGCCCTGGGGAGATGGAAGAGAGCCAGAGTCAGACCCATTTGGCCCCCCCTTCCATGGTTACAGGATACCCCCCCAAACCCTATGTGGTTAGCCCCTGGCTCACCGGGGGTCCCCATAGTAGCCAGGGGAGCAGAGCTGGCAGTGGGCACCCTCAGTGTGGTCCTGGCAGAAGCAGAGTCCGCTGAGGTTGTCGCAGTGGCCACGACGCGGGTCCCCATGCCCGTTGCACTGGCAGGGCCGGCAGCCGCCTGAACCCGTGGCATTGCCAAAGCTGCCAGGCCGGCACCGTTCACAGTGTTCCCCCCATGTCCAGTCTGTGGAGACCCCACAGATGCAGGGTCAGGGGCAAGGGTGGGAAGGGGTCTCGACCATCTGGCTCAGCTGGCTCCCTAACCCCACTTGGCTGCTTCAAAGAATAACAAGGGTTGAAATTGGTGGGGAGAGAAAGTCCCCACAGGGACTGAGGCCCAGCCAAACAGACAGGTGGCCCTGAAACTTGGATTCTGAGCAGGGATGGGGGCAGGGGGACCCAGAGCCGGGTGAGTGGACCCTGAAGCCCATGCAGGGGTAGGAAACCAGAACCCTGAGGAGCCCCCCCCCAAGGCCAGATCTGGGGTGCCGCTCACCCTGGCACTCATCACAGAAGCCAGGTCCACGCTTGCGGCAGTGGCTGTGGAAGTTGCAACCGCAGTCCCGGGAGCATCGAGGGGCAGGGGGCCCTGGGGCGGGTGTGGGCGGAGGCAGGTAGGACGTCCAGCCCAGGTCACACACACAGGTGAAGTCGGGGGGCCCGCTGCACACACCATGGCCACAGTCCTCCAGGCACCTGAGGGGCCACAAGAGAGTAGGGGGAGGCTGGGCAGGCCCAGAGCCCCCAGGGCAGCCCTCCACCCCATCATCTCCCTGCAGCACTATCACAAGCTGCTGCCTGTCCCACAGGACTGGACTCTGTGGGTAGACCTGTCTCCGGGGTAACACCCACACATGCAAACTCCTATCTGCTCTCGTACCACTGCTGATCAGCTCTGTAAAAAACTCCTTTTCAAGTTGATCCCCCTCCATCTCCATGGCAACCCTGAAGACTATGGCTCACAGTGCAGGGGCGACCCATCTCCACAGTAACTAGTGCTATGTCGGGGACCCTGTCACTCTAGGGAAGGTACGGTCTGCAGGGGACAAACCCCGAGTTCACCAGAACGCTGGTTCCACAGAGGGATCCCAGCACCATGACCACTTCCTCCCTCCATCTCCACGTGCCCAGTCCCAGGCCAACATCTCCATGGAAACCCTGCCTCACTCACGTGCGGTTGCAGTAGGTGACTCCGTCGCCCTGGTAGCCCCGCTGGCAGTGACATTCGTAGCTGAGGGGCGTGTTCAGGCAGGTGGCCCTCTGGTGGCACCGTGCCAGGCCCAGGCGACACTCGTCCACATCCGGACAGCGGGCATAGGCCCAGCGGGCAGGGAGGGCCACAGGCAGTCCCAGGCTCTCCCCAACCCACAGGGAGCAGTTACCCCCACCCAGGGGCCCCGAGAAGTCCCCCTGGAGGCACCTGGGGGATTGAAAAAGAGGGCAGAAGCCAGGAAGATAAAGAAACAAGAGACAGAGGCAGTGATGCAGTGACAGCAGGAGGCCATTCAGAGAGAGAGAAACAGAAATATGGAAAGATGGAGAGAAACCCAGAAAAAGATACCAAAAATTTGAAACAACAGGAGAGAGACAGATAACGATGACAGGGGAGAGACGCAGAGACAGAAACAGAAGAGGAGGAAGAAAACAGGCGCGATGAGGGAACACAAGTCACAGAGGCAGAAAAAGAGCAGAGAGGGAGAAAAGAGAAAAATGGAGAGAGGGAAAAGAGAGAAAAACAGAGATGAAAGACAGGAAGCAGCATGGGGGCAGACAAACAAAGAATCTGTCAGAACCAGGTGGAGCAGAGAGCCAACAGCCCTTCCTCCTGCCCTTGGGCGTGTTCAGGCGCCGTCCAGCCTCACCGTCCCAGTGTGGGGTTGTCCTCGTTGCCACACCAGCCGCACTCATGGCTCTGCAGACACTCATGGCAGGTGAGGAAGCGGTCGCAGCTCCGGCACCGGGGCTCCGAGTGCACGCTGCAGGGTACCAAGTATGTGGGGTTAGAACCTGGCCTGTCTCCACTCTCTCCTCCAAGTTGCCACCGTCTGCATCACCACGCCGCCCCACACCTGTCATCCCAGCCGCGGCAGCCTCCATGCGGGTACCGGGCCAGGTAGGCAGCAAACAGGAAGCAGGTGTGGGTGGACTGGCACCAGGCACACTGGCTGGAGTTGGCCAGGCAGTCATCACAGGTCAGGCGCCTGGGAACGGGGAGTGGGCTCACACCATGATCGGAACTCCACAACTCCCCCCTGAACCCCAGTCCCTGGGAGCAGTGGAGCTCACTGGCTGCAGAGTGGGGGACACTCCTCTGGACTCTTCAAGGCACCCCGGCCCCGGCCCCGCCGACTGCATGCTGCGTCCCCTTTGCGGCTGGTGCTCTGATGCCACTCGCAGAAGGGATCCTGGGGGGTGGGGGAATAAAAGCCCCCTGCTTAGCCAGGCCCCTGCATCACCAGCTCAACAAGCAACTGCTTCCCTGGCCTCTCCCTACCCCCTGTCCCACAGACCAGGCCACCAAGTCTACTCCCTCCCCAGATGTCAGCCTCTGTAGACTTTCCCCTTCAGCCAATGATCCACTGGTTCTTCCTGCCCAGTCCCCACTCCCTTCTTGGGGCAATGGCATCTTGGCATCCAAAGGCCCCAGGTGTGTCCCTGACACCCAGGGTTCCCTCAACTGCCCATGGCAGCTCTGGGGAGCCCTCCCCCTTTCCCAGGAGCCTGGTTGGGCTGCCTCCACCCCAGGACCTCCCTCTGTGGCCCAGCAGGCACCTGAGTACAGGCGTGGCAGTCACGATGCTCCTCACAGAGTGGGCAGAGGGCAGGCACCAGCACCAGCAGGGATCCACCGGCCCCGTCGTCCCCATCCCCACAGTGGGCCCCACTCTGGCGCAGGTGGCAGGTGGCACTGGTCAGGCACCAGCCACAGCCCTGGTCCGCCAAGCAGCCCAGGCAGGAGGAGTAGGTGGTGCAGGCCGAAGAGCGGTAGGGTTCCAGGAAGAAGAAGGAGATCTCCTGGGGGAGGGGTCATTTGAGGGTCAGGGTCAAGTTTTGGAGTAGGGATCAGAGTTTGGAGCTAAACACTTAAGTATTTGGAAACAAGGTTTAGAATTCAGATGCACAGAAAATCAGGCTTTAGGACAGGGGTAGACAAACGGGGGATGAGAGTTTGAAAGAATTTAGAGACAAGAGGTCAGAGGTCAATATCCCCAGAGTCAGATGTGGGCAGTGGTCAGAAAAGGGGATCAGATCAGTCCCTGGGATCAAATGTTGAGGTCAACGTAAACCCTGAAGTTCAGAGGCCAAGAGTCAAGGAGTAAGAGGACAGGATCAAGGGTTAAGCGTTTGTGGCCTGGGGTTCAGAAGGCCCGGGGAATCTAGGCCTGGGGACTCACGCTGCCGCCTGGCACGCCTGTCCGGTCCCACAGCAGGGTAAGTTCGCTGTGCCCAGGGCCCGCCGAGCCATTGAGCTGGCCGCGGATCTCCACAGCATACTTGTGGCCTCGCCCAGGCAGTGGGAAGAGGCGAGCAGACCCTGGGCGCTGTAGCCGTCTCGTCTCCTTCTCCTGCTGAGCCACCCAGCGCCCCACTTCCTCCTGGAGTAGGAATGTGGCACAGACAGGGACTTCAGAACTTTCCACCCCACTCCCACCCCTGAAACCTCCAAGAGTCCCAAATACCCAGCGCACACCTCCTCCTGGGAAGAGGAAAAAGGCCTCAGTATCCCTTAGACCCACAAGAGCCTCTAAGCATCCCTCAAACCTCCCAGAGACCCACTTCCTCCCCAGGGCAGTCTGACTTGGTTACATAGACCTTCCCCACCTCCTTCAAAATTCCCCCAAATTCTGTTCACAATTGGAAACCCCAGAGCCCACTCTCTCTCCATTAAGGATACATCTCATGACCCAAATTTCTCCCCATTGCTCCCCCACACTACACTTTCCCAGCCCCCACATTCATGTCCCAGGCATTCACCATGTTCTCTGTGTCAGGGCCACGGGCCATGCGGGCCAGAACATGGAGGCGCTGGGCCCGGGCCCACACAGCCACGTCCTCAGTGCCCCGGCCAGGCCCGCCCTGCAGCAGGGGGTGGATGAAGCCGCGGTAGACCAAGGACACATCGGTTTCTGGGCTGGGAGTCAGGGTGATGGTCGTACTGCGGACAATCAAGACCTGTGCCAGTGGGGCAGAGGGTGTGTGTAAGTGCATCTGCACTGCCCTGCAGTCCCCACAGCCCTCAGGCTGCTTCAGATCAGGGCTGCCAGGCACCGGGAGGAACAGAGAATGGAGAGGGATTACTTAAAAGGTCCAGGGTTTAATGGTGGGGTGGTAAAAATGCCCTTGAACTAGATGGTGGTGACAGTTGCAGAATACTGTGAATGTGACAGCCAACTGTCACTAGTGGTAAATTTTATGTGTTTTACCACAATTTTAAAAGAGTAAGTCAACAAGAAAAATCAGGCCCTTAACTGTACAGATTTATGAGGTAAACACAGAGTGATAAACAGTGATCCATCTGACAAACGAGAACTCTCAGATGAGGTCCCTCCACACTACATGCTGAGCCTCATCCCGGGCTCCCCACCTTGTCGGGCTGAGAGGCATTGGGGGGCTGCTGGAAAGTGAGCAGGTGCAGGCCAGGCAGGAAGCTCTGGGTGACGCAGGCCTCCAGGGATGTGACGAAGACAGGTGCAGGGCCCCACCAGCCCACGGTGCCTGAGATCTGCTCCCCTCGGCAGCGGGCCTGCTCTGTGATGACAGGAAGGGGGTGAGGGGTCAGAATGGGGTGCTGCTGGCTCCCTCCTGCACCATCACTGGGCACTCACCAGGCCGAGGCAGGCAGCTCTCGTTGTGCACACACCAGCCCAGGGCACCAGGCCCGCGGGGAGGAGCTGCGGGGCTGCTGAAGGCCAGGCAGGCCTGGCAGTCCCCCAGGAGGCGGCCCAGGCCCAGGCAGCTGGCAGCAGGACACTGCAGGGAGGGGAGGGGACAGGGGTCATCATCCACCGGGATTTAAGGGGTCTTAGAAGGGCTGAGCATACAAGAGAGTGGGGATGGAAGGGGTCAGGAAATTGGAGAAGGGAACTGAAAGTGGAGTTGAAATGAGGATGATGGAGAGGATGGGGGATATGGGGACAGGGCCCTAAGTTTGAAAGAATCAGGGTTAAGGTCAAATGTTCAGGGGTCAGCATTCAGGAATGATGATTATAGGTATGAAAACAGGTTTCCCAAGTGGGGGAAAGTCATTCTCTACTTGGTTCAGACAGAGGAGACCCTGGTTTCTGTGCTAGGGGACAGAGTGTTAGGACAGTCACTCACAGGCCCCAAGGCAGTCCCAGGAGGTGGTGCGGCTTGGCAGGCCCCCTGACACCAGCTGCATTCAGGATCTCGGGAGCAGACACTGTGGTCTGTGTACATGGAGCAATAGTCCAGGTGGTACTGTGAAGAGATGGAGTGAAAGGGCGTTTCCATCCTGGGCTTGTCCCTAAGTACCCACTTAATGGGATTATCCCAGGGAACCCTGACTACTCAGCAACCCTCTCCTCTCCTCCCCTAACCCCAAGGACCTCCATTCCTCCTCCCTTGAACCTGAGGACAGACCTTCCTTGTCTTGTGGCCTTCCTTCCCCCCCAAAACCCCCAACTTTCTCCCTCATTTGTAGAAACAATGCTACCTTCTCCTAACCACCCTCTCCCTGTCACCCCAATACTCACATCTGGGGCAGGTGCCTGGAACACAAAGGGGGGCACCTTGTAAGCCATCAAGTCCCCACGGGGCCGGCCACTGTATCCCCCAGCCACCAATAGTACACTGCCCCCAAGCACAGCCGCCACATGGGAGTAGCGACCACTGGGAGGCGCTGCTCGGCCTAAGAGAAAGAGATCCCCAAAAGACATGAGACCCCATCCTGTCCCACTACCACCTTCATGGCTCCCCTGTCCCAGGAGACCGCCCCTGACTCTCCTAGGCCTCAGCCCAGGCTCCTGGTTCCCACTTCAACCCACCTGCCCAAGGAAACCTCCCAGCCTGCCTAGCCTGTACCATCTCTAGTCATACCTTGCCCAAACCATCTTTCTGACAGAGAAGGATCTTTGGGGTTGGAAAGACTTGGGCTCAAGTCCTGAGTCTACTGTTTACCTGGGTTCAAACCATGAGTTAACCACTGACTAGATGTGTGGCCTTGGGCATAAGGCTAGACTTCTACATCTTGCTTTATTTTTCTACAAATGTAGCCACGGTGGAACACCACTCTCTCATACTCCCAGTCCACAAGGCTCAAGCTGAGCTGCCCCTGTCTCTGGCAGCAGGGGTTTTACCCAGGCCGCTCGGTGTCAGTGACCAGTTCCTATGATTCTTGGGGAAACGCTCTCTTTCCTTTCTGGGCATTTAAAAGGGGTGGGGGGCCTCCCCGGTGGCGCAACAGTTGAGTGCTGGGTTGCGCAGCTGCCCACAGCCTCTGCAGTGCCAGTTTGATCCCTGGCTGCTCCCTGGCCACTGGAGGAGGGTCCCACATGGCGCGCAGACCTCTCCTGCCGCCGCTGCTCCCCTCAGCAGTGTACTTCAGTCCTTCTGCCTGCTCTGCTCCCCACTCTGGCTCTGGTGAATTCTCTCGCCACCCCCGCGCTTCTGACTATACCCAGTGCTTGTATAAATAAATAAAATAAATCTTTAAAAAAAATAAATAAATAAATAAGGGGTGGGATAGGAGCCCCGAGCTGCTGGTGAGCATCGCCAAAATGCGGCCCTGCTACAGACTAGAGCAAACACGGCAGAGAGCTGGAGAGAGACTGACACCATCACTCAAGTGAGTCAAGAAATTCTCCCTTTTTTATGGAGGTTGGGTTGGATTTCTGTCACAACCAGAGTTCTGACTGGCAGGTGAGTGGTCAGCTACTGACCTCCTACCCCTTGCGCATGTGGGACTTGGCCTGGGGACTCACAAATGGCAGAGGAGGAAGAGGCCTCTGGAAACCTCATATAAAAAGGACCTAAAGCAGAGATGGGGCAGGAGAAGCCCTGGAATGGAGGCCTTCAGTGTCAGGCCTGGGTTGTATTTCTGATGGCCACGTAGGGCTCCTTTGAACCTCCTGCCCACCCTTAAGGGCTAATGTCCCTTCCTCAGGTTTGTCCTATGTCCTCACTCTTCTGCTCAGTGGGGCGGGAAGAACAGAGGGGCACCAGAAGGTTCGCAGCACCCTGAAATATGTCATTTGTGTATACAAGCCAAGAGCCTTTCTGAGGAGAGGGCCTGTGGCTTTCTTCTGATTTGCATGGTATCTCTGATCTGACAATTCTGACAACTGAAGGCGCACCCCCTCCCTGATGAGTCCACTGGCCTAGATAGTCACCACTGTTAGAAAGGCAGTATGTCAAGCCCTTGCCTTGGGGTCTTTATTCCTCAAGCATCATCTCAATTTACTCTCACAACAGCTGATGGCCCACGTTATTACAGTCCCCATTTTACAGATGGGGAAAGGGAGGCACAGAGAGAGATTAAATGATGATTTCTGCACAGATGACCATTTGGAGCCAGCTATCCTGGTTCTGTCTCTTGCCTATTCTGTCACCTTGGAAATATAGTATTTTTTAGGCTGTTCCCTGGGGCAGGGAGGAACTGGTTAAGCCTGGGTCAGAACCCCAGTTTGATTCTGTGGTAACTGCTCCACTTCGACAGCAACACCCTGTTTCTGACTCAGCTCCAACAGGATGTTTAGCTCACCCCAAGAAAGCCCAGATGCACTGAGGAGTAGTGTAAGCCTCAGGAGTCCCTCAAGGAAACAGGGTGACTCACCCTCCGGGGTTCCTGGGGGAGCAAGCTCAGCCCCTGACACCCACTGATGGCAGCCAAGGTGGTAGAAGAAGATGCCGTCTTCATAGCACTTTTCCTCCTGGTAATGGGTGTGCACGTTGCCCCCTGGGAAAGGAGGAAAGGCACACAGCTGGCAAGCCTGGGGCAGGTAGGGAGACCCATGCAGGGAGCCTCAGGTCGGGGCTGGCTTGGGCCCCAGGTGGGCAGGGCAGGTGAAATCGGGAAGCCTTCTCACCATAGACTACCATGTAGTTGCCCAGGACGCTGGCCGTGTGGAAGGCTCGCTCCCGCGGGCCCTGAAGCCCATCCCGGCCCTTCAGGGTTGTCCACACACGCCGATCCACATGGAAAAGCTCAGTGGAATTGACCCGCACAGAGAACCTACAGAGGGGCAGAGAAGGGCTCAGGGTAGGCAGAGCCTCTCTTCCTCCTCTTGGGTCTTAGCACTTGTGGGATCACCCAGGAGTAATGGTGTGACTATGTTTAGGTCCCCTCACAGCGAGAAATTCCTCGTGGGCAGGACCGGATTAGACCCCTCTCTAGGTTCCCCACACAATCTAGCCAGGCTGAGGTCAGCTGAATGGATGGATGGGCAGGAGGCAATGGACCAAGAAACTGAATGAAAGACTAGGGAATGAGGGGTTGAAGGAGTAAAGGAGGGGAGAACGGAAGGAGTGACCAACTGTCTGACTGCAGGAGCCCATCAGTGATCTCTGTCCACTGAAGACCAAAGGTCCCAAGCGGTTCACTTACCGGGCAGTGGAAGGCCGATGTCCACCGTGAACCAGCAAAGCACGAGAGGGGGCGTGGAACACCATGGAGTGGCCAGTGGCAGCAGGGGGCCGCCCACCTGCTGGAATCACCTGCTCCCAATAGCCCCCACTGGTGATGTCCAAGCGGAAACGGAAGAGGCCAGAGGAAAATAGGTCGTGCTGGGTGCGGCCACCAGACACGTAGAGCCAGACGTCATCTACCAGAGCAGCTGCGTGACCGGCCAGGCCTGGTGGTCCCGAGGAACCAAATGCCGGTGGTGCCAGGAGCTCCCAGTGGCCCCCGCCCAGCGGAGTAAAGGCCCACACATCGCTGGTGAGGGAGCCATCAGCCAGCTCACCGCCCATCAGCACCAGGGAGCCAGCCCAGGCCACAGCCACGTGGGAGTGACGTGCCGCCTGTGAGGAAGAGACAGGGAGATGGAGATGGGGACAGATATGACACACAGAATGACAAAGAACCATACAGATGCAGAGACAAGCAGATGGAGAGACAGAGACATGGCGGGTAGACACAGAGATACACAAGGAGAGGAGACGGAGCCAGAGAAACAGATTCATGCAAATAAAAACGGAGAAGGGCTTCCCCAGTGGCGCAGCAGTTGAGCACCATGTTGCGAAGCTGCCCACAGCCTCCGCAGCGTCGGTTTGATCCCCGGCCGCCGGTGAGGGTCCCACATGGCACGCAGACCTCTCCTGCGGCCCGCTGCTCCCCTCAGCAGTGTACTTCGTCAGTCTGCCTGTTCTGCTCTCCACTCTGGTTCTAGTGAATTCTCTCACCCTCCCGCGCTTCTGACTATACCCAGCGCTTATACAAATAAATAAATAAATCTTTAAAAAATAAAATGAAAAAAAAAAAAAAAACAGAGAAACTCAGAAAGAGAGGGAGGAGGCAGGGAGCCACAAACAGAAGGGAAATGATGGAGAAAAGCAAGTCAAGACACACTGGACCCAAAGAGACATGGACCGACAGAGACAGGAGGCACAGAAAGAGAAAACGTAGAAAGGGAGTTACAAAGAAAAACCAGACAGAAAGCAGGGAGGAGCTGTGGGCCTGTACCAAGCCAAAGGGGGCGCAGGGGGTGCCTCCGGGCACGACAGAGGTGGGATCCATACCGGGGCAGGACTCAGGTCCCAGCGCTCCCAGGCGTTGGCAGAGAAGTTATATAGGACGAGGTCGCCCAGGGCACTGTTGAGATCCTGGCCTGCGGAAGAGTGGGGGGTCTCAAGCCCTGGCCACAGACTGCCTGCCAGGTCTCCTGGGCCCATATGTACACCCATCTGCTCACCTCCAAAAACAGCCAGCAGCCCCGGCGGGGACAGGAAGGCGCCAGCTGCCCCGATGCGAGCAGAGAAGGCGGGGTCCCCGGCACTCACATTGTGCCACCAGCCAGCCCCCTGGTTCTCCCACAGGTGCAGGTCACAGGCGCGTCCCAGGAAACCAGGTTCACAGCGGCAAGGTCCTAGGGGCTTCCGGGAAGAGGACACAGAGAGAGAGAGAGAGAGGTGGGTGGTAGGAACAGAGAGAGACACAGGCAAAAAATGGGATGGCCAAGAAAAGAGAAGAGAAAAAGGGGGGGGGGAGAGAGAGCAGGAGAAAGACACACAATCAGAGGGAGGCAGAGGAGAAAAGAAAGACCAAGAGAGAAAAGGTCAATGAGAAGAGCAAAGGTCAATGTCCACCTGGGCTAGAAGAGCTCAGATGGGAGGTCAAGGCACAGAGGGGATAAACACGATCCAGTCCCAAAGCTGGATATATTTGGCACAGGCTCAAGATCAGGGGTCAAAATTCAGTAATCAGGGCCGGGGGCCGGGATCAGAGAGGGGCTGGGTGAGAGGATGGAGGTGCACCCGGCTGGTGCAGGAGAGGGCAAGAGCACAGGTGACGTGGGGTACAAACGAGGATGCAGCAGGCAGGGCAGGGGCCCCAGGTGAAGGTGGGGTGGATCTGCAGTAACAGGTGGGAGCTGGAAGAAGGGGAGTAGTGGGGTGAGAGCAGAGTCCCTGGTGGGGCAGGTGTCTGGGAAGAGGGTAGGTGGCAGGGCTAGTTTCAGGTAAGGCCCAATTCAGAGCTAGGAAACAGGAGCAGTAGGTGTGGTCACAGATCAGGCCTGGGGGACACGGTGGGGTTCAAGCTCACCGAGGCGCAGGTACCATGGCTGCCACAGTAGGCTGGGCACTCCTGCAGGCCACAGTCAGGGCCCCCCCAGCCCGGCTCACAGGCACACACGCCGGGGGGCCGGCATTGCCCATGGCTGCGGCAGCCCCCTGGGCACAGGGAGAAGCGGAAGGAAGCGTTGAAGCCCAGCAAGTTGTAGTTGGCATCGCTGAAAAGGTGCAGCAGCATCTGTAGGCACAAGGTGGGCAGGTTCTGGGGACTAGACTAAGAGGCTGGTTCTGTTGGGGGTCCCCACTCCTTCCTTGGTCTTCCATGCCTTTCTTTGTCCTGTGTCCTGTCTGATGCCAGGCCCCTCCCAGTGCCTCCATCCCTCCCCTCTTCTTCTGTCGCCCCTTTCCTCACATTCCCCCTAGATCTTCCAGCCACAGCCCCACAGGCCGGCCCCACCAACCTTGCCTGAGGAAGCCTCGATGGGCGGAGGCCGGGTGCTCCCGCTCAGACTGGCAAGCAGGGGGCCTCGGGGGGAGTCCCCATCATACACAAACAGGTAGTCATAGGTGCATTCTGTGTCCAGGAAGAGGAAGTCCAGCAGGATCCGGTGCTGGGGGCTTGGGGCTGGGGGGGAGAACCATGGGGGTGGACTCAGCTATGGACCCTTTCCGCACGCCTCCATGCAGCCCTCTGCAAACACCAAGACCTGCTCCGAGTGATGTGGGGGGTCCCAAGATGAGTCCGACCTGGGCCCTGCCTTGGAGGGGTTCCTGATCTTATAGACCAGGGAGGTTAGAGCTGTCACCCTGAGATGGGCAGATGTTCAGGGAAGGGCTCCCGAGATCAGGCTGAACACCTCCCACTATTCAGATGGGAAAAATGTAGTGCAGTAAGAGGAACCCCATTCCCATAGCCACCCAGAAAGTTCCAGTTTACGCTGGAACCTCAGACATCCCCAGGTGCTGGCATATCTACAGCCCAGGTCCCAGGAGAAAGGCATACTTCCAGACCCAAAAGGACCCCTGTGACAGTCCCCTTTCCCAGATTGAACAAAACTCTAAGGGAAGAGGCCCCCTGGACAAAGGCTAAACCTTCAGGCATCACAGCCCCCACCCAGAGAGTCATCTCTCTGGTTGCTATAGTAGCAAGCTTGGTTCCACCACTTACTAGCTACTAGCTGTGTGACCTTGGGTAAGTCACCTAACCTTTCTGAACCTTTTTCTTCAGTTGCCAAGTGGGGACTTGCAGGTACTGAGGTGGATCCATTCAAACACATTGCCACTCCTTCCTTGCAGAGGTGAGGCCAGATTCTCTGCCGCTAGCATCTGGGAAGAGCCTCAGACATGCTTGATCAAAGCAAAGCAGCAACAGTGACATTCCAAGGCTAGATCAGAGAAAGTCTCGCAGCATCTACTTGGGCCCCTATGATACTCCTTCTCCCAATGCAGTTCTCATGCAACGAAAAGCCAAAGTCACGTGGAAGGGCCACACAAAGGCGACACAGCTGAGCTCACAGACAGTGTCAAGTGCCAGCCCTGAAAAGGAGCCTCTGGATGCTTGGCCCAGCTGAGAGTTCAGATGACTGCAGTTCCAGCTGACCTCCACCTGCACTGGTGTGCAAGAGGTACTCCTCACACCACCAATACCCCTGCTCTCTGAGGGGGCCTGATTCCAGAAGGTTCTCTGATGCCACATATCACACTACAAGCGTAAAGAAGTCTTTTGTGCTACGGCAAGTAAGGAGACCTGAGTTCTAGCTCTGCACTCTGACTGCTGGAAGGCCTGGGTCAGCCCTTCCTGCACAACCCTCTGTCCACCCATCTGAATACTAGACACTCGCAAGCTGCATGATCTTAGCCCAGTTTCATGGGCTTGCTGATTCTCAGTTTTCTTTTTTTTTTAAGGTTTATTTATTTATGCATACTAGAACTAGGCCGGAGCGGGGAGCGGGGGGGGGGGGGGGGGGGGGGGGGGGGGGGGGTGGTGAGAGAATTCACCAGAGACAGAGTGGGGAGCAGAACAGGTGGATTGACTGAAATACACTGCTGAGGGGAGCAGCAGAAGCGAGACAGGAGAGGTCTGCTGCGCCATGTGGGTCAGCTCCCTGGCTAGGGATAGAACTCATGCTGCAGTGGCTACAGATAGCTTCTCAGTGCTGAGACTTAGCCCCTTGAGCCACCAGGGAGGCCCAGATTCTCAGTTTTCGTGAGGTAAAATGTGACTAATTCTCCCTGCCTACCAAAGCTGGTTGAATGGTTCTACAAGATGATGACTGTAATATGCCAGTCCAGGCCTCATCCTCTCTCACAGGATCACAGAATCCCCCTCCTACCTGGCCTCCTGTCTTGCCCTGATAGGTGTCCATGAGGGATCCTCCCCTGCTCAAAAGCCTTCCACAGCTCCTCACCATTCCCAGGAGAGAGTCCAGCTCCCTAGCCTGGCATTTGCAGTCCCACATCACCTTGCTGACTGCAGCTCTCTGGGGGCCTGAGCTTCTGTCTGGAGCAACATTTTTCCTTCCCACTAGCAAATTTCTCCACCATCAGCCTTCCCTGATACCCCCTGGCTCAGTTACGTGTCCCTCTTGGGGTTGTTACATCCCGTTATAACCTTCCTTCCTCTAGGCCATGATCGTCTGTGTCCAGGTGTGTCTCCCCTGCAGCCTAAGAGGTCCACAGGGCAGGGCCTGGACCTAATTCATCTTGGAGTCCCTCCCTGACACTGCCTAGCACAGGACCTGGCACTGACAAAGGCTCCGGAAATGCTGGATGAAGGAATGAAGAAATACACAAAAGAATGAATATTCAAGTTGGTTTTTATCTCTCCTTTAGGTCCCGACAGGAGCGCCCAAGAACAGCACACATAGACCTGGACCCACAGGCTGGGGAAGGCAAAAGAACCCTTCAGCCAACCAGCCAACCAGCCCTCCCAGATCTTACCAGCTTCAAGCCAACTATAAAACTCTGTTGCCAGAATCACAACAAGTATGTCTTTGTCAAGTGTCTGCCAGAGGCCAGCTCACCATCTGCTCCCCCAAGTTCCTCCCTAAGTACAAGGTCTCCTGTTTCCACCCAACATGGGCCCCACCCCCTGCCATCCCATACAGAGAAAAACCCCCCAAAAGCCCCTCATTCATGAGGGTATTATAAGGACTGGGTACAGTAAAGTGTGTATGTAGTACAAAAGTAAGTGTGTCAGTGGCTTACTTTTTAACAGATGGGGGAACATGATGGTTCTTAGAAGTGATAGACATCGGGAAGGATGGGTGATCAAGGAGGTCTGCATGTCCCCTGGGCTCCTCCATACCCCAACATCCAACCGGTTGGTCCCCAAGTGTCAATGACGAAGCTTTGCAACTGTTTTACTCCCTGTCCCAGCTCAGAACTCACCTGCTTCTGCAGGCTAGCTTGAGAGCCATGCCCCATTCCTGCTGAAAATCCTTTTGTTGCTTCCCATCAACCCCAAGAGAAAAGCCAAGCTTGAAATTCAAAGTCCTCTTTTCCCTGCTTCCAGTGCCCTCCTCACCTCCCAGTCAACAGTCCAAGCAGACCAGACAAACCTAGACATGGCTCCTACAGCCCAAGTCTCTCTTTTATCCTTTTTTTTATTTATACAAGAACTGGGGTACAGTCAGAGGCACGGGAGGGTGAGAGAATTCACCAGCGACAGAGTGGGGAGCAGAACAGGCAGACGGACTGAAGACACTGCTGAGAGGAGCAGCGGGCGAGGCAAGAGAGGTCTGCCGCGCCATGTGGGTTTCTTCCTGGCCGGCCGGAAATGGAACCCGCGCTGCAGAGGCTGCGGACAGCTTAACAGCGTGGAGCTCAACCCGCTGCACCACCAGGGAGGCCCACCTCCTTTTTATCTTTACAGCAAGTGTTTCATACTTTTCATCCAGCAAACTCTTATGCATACTTCAGAACCCTGTTCCAGTAACACCCCCGCCCCAGCAGAGTTCTCTTATTCCCCTAGGCCCATCTACCCACCCACCCAATGCCTATTCCTCCTTCCATCTCAGCCCTGAGTACTTTGAGGGCTAAATGTCTATGTTTTGCTCTACCATTCCCAACTAGGCCAGAGAAAACATATGCATACTTCCTATTCTGTTCTCACCCACTGACAGGAATGATTCCCAAGCTGGGGACAGTCAGAGGCTCTCACCTCCAAGAAACATATTTCATCCACAGCCCACACAGCAGCCATTGAGACATTCTAAATCACAAATCAGATCAAGCTTTCCTTCCATAGTTCCTCCATAACCTGCCAAAAGAGGCCCCACAGCAGCCAAGGCTGTCACACCTGTGGCCTTTGCCTGGGCCCACCTCTCCTAGGAGGCCATCCCCTACACTCACAGGAGGCCTTCCCACACTTTTCTAGCCAGTGCCTTGGACTTCTCTTTCACCTGCCTATTGCCCTCAGGATACAGTACAAAATCACAAGGTTCAACACACACCTTCTGGCTCTTACCAATCCTCTAGCCTCTGGCTCATAGTTTATCTTCTTGTACTATGTGTTCCAGCATACCAGCTCCTCAAAAGCACCATCCTTCCTGCTCCCAGGCCTTTGCACCAACTATTCTCCTGCCTGGAATGCTCTTTTGCTCCATCTACACATGCTTCTGGTCTCAACTACAGCCCAGTTTAAGTCAGACATTTCTGGCTTCCCATTCCCTGGGGATGGATCTATTTCCCCCATTGGACTGGGAGACCATATGGGTAGGGCTAGGGCCTTTGCACAGGTAATTCCCGAAACACTTTTCTTCCTCCTGGCTGATTCCTGTTGGTCCTTTATCTCTCAGCTCAGTCATCTCCTCCTCTAGGAAGCCCTCTATGCTCTCCCTAGGAAGTTCTCTGCTTGTGCCCAGGTCAGGTACCTCCTTTAGGCTCCCTCAGAACGAGCAGGTTCCTCCATCACAGTCCTAACCACTCTGGGCTGTCACAGTCTATTAAAGTGTTTGTCTCCCCCCCACTGGATTCCTGTCATTGGGGACTGTTGGGACTATCTTGGTCTCCAATGTATCCCAGTGGCCAATGTCTTTTTACTAACGTTCTTTAAAAACAAACTGTCAGTAATAATCCTCATACCATTTGTTGAACATTTACTATGTGTCAGGCATGTTAAATACTCATTCTCATTTCCTTTCCTTCCCATAACCCACATGGCCCGGCAGACCTCTCCTGTCTGGCCCACTGCTCTCCTCAGCAGTGTATTTCAGTTAGTCTGCCTGTTCTGCTCCCTGCTCTGTCTCTGGTGAATCCTCTCACCCTCCCGCACATCTGGCCTGTACCCCTGTTCTTGTCAATAAATCTTTTTTAAAAAGGGGAGTAGGGGGGTAGGGGAGCTGAATCTCAGAGAAAGAAAGGAAGGAAACCACCTGCCCAAAGTCACAAAGTTAAGGGCCTCCCTGGTGGCGCAGGGGTTAAAGACACAGCACTACCAAGCTATCACCAAAGCCACAAAGTTAGTAAGAAGCGGAGCCCAAATTTAATGCCAGATCATTGAGCTCAGTGCCTGAGTTTCTAACGATGACCCTAATACCACTGATGCTCCTGGCTTTTAATTGTCCATCTGAGTCTGGATGCAACTTTCCCATCAGATTTCAAGGCCTTCCAGGGAAGGGTCTAGCCTGGCTGCATTTTAGAGCAAAAGGCCTGCACCACAGCGGGCTCTCTGGGAATGAGGCAAGTGGATTAATGAGTCCACAGATGAATGAATTAGGGGATGAGTGGGTGTGTGTGACCCAAGCTGCCCCACTCACCCTCGATGAGCCACTCGCAATTGCCATTGACGCTGTAGTTGCCCGCGCCATCCGTCACGAAGCCTGGCGCCTCCCGCAGCACTTGGCGCTGTCCCTTGCAGTCCCCAGCCCGGGCCCCAGGGGACAGCGGCCCCAGCACCGCCAAAGACAGCGTCAGCGCCACGGCCAGAGCCCGGCTCGGGGCCATCACCTCCTCCCGCACTGACGCTTACAGACCCGAGAGGACCCTCCACCCGTGAGGCCCTGCAAATGCGACCTCTACAGACGGGACATAGCCGTGTAGACCCGGGAGGTCCAGGAATCGCAGTTCCGGCGAAGGGAACCGTCGCAGTAGAAGCGCTCTGGCAGCGGAGGGATGGGCCCTACAGCTCCATGGAAGACCCTGTAAATGGGCTCGTCACGGACGGGCCGACCCTTAGGGACCGTGGGAGCCCCTCACAGACAAGGGCCCTCATAGGTGGCTGAACCCATAAATGGTATCCAGCAGTTACAGGCGCGGGTCGCTGCAGGCCGAAAGGGACCTTACAGACGGGTGCGTCCCCAGGGGGCGAAGGGCTCTACAGCCCGGCGGGGGCCTCCATAGAGAGCGCGGGCCCGGCCGGGAGAGGCCCGGATGGTCCCGGGGAGACCCCGCCAGCCGGGGGCGGGGCGCGAGAGGGTGCTGGGGGCGGAGCCCGTCTTCCGGGGCCTGGACCACATAGACGCACAGCTTCGCTCACCCACCCGCGCCTCCCTCCGGAGCCGGATAGGCCAGATCAGAGAGATGAGGGGACGCTCGGGCCAGAGAGGCCCGGTGAAGACCCGCTGGGAGGGCCAGGGGGCGGGGGCTGAGCGGCCGCTGTGGGAGGGAAGACGGAGAGCAGGCGAGAAGTCGCGGAGCCGCAGGTCAGAGAGGCCTTGGGAGGACTGCGGAGCACGCAACCCCGCCCCACAACCCCGCCTCCACACAAGGAGACTTCCGGAAGCGTCCCCGCCCACTGGTCCCAGCCGCATGCGCAGTAGTAATCTCGGCCGGCGAAGAGAATGTACACATGCGCAGTGGTAAAAATCACAGTCCCGACTCGGGGTGCGGGAGGCTAAGAGAAGTTTGCGCCGCTAGAGGGCGCCTCCACCTCTGACGAGGGAAGAGAAGGTAGTAAAGGAGCAGTGCAGCCAAGGGCTGCGCTGCATGATTCGAATCTTCGGTGCGCCCAGATTCCGGGTCAACATAAAGGCCAGGTTATTGCAGGCCCCAAAATGCCATTTCACAGACGGACACGTCGAGGTCCGAGCCTGGACTGGTTCTTTCTCAGCCCCACCTCTGAGCCCCAAGATACAAAGAAGCCATCTTATAGATAAAAACACAACGAATCCTCTTTATTTGGCAAGAAGGGAAAAAAGTCTTCCCGCTGGGGCCCAGGGCGAGGCCCCGGCATGGAGGCTGGAGGGGCAGCGCTCGGGTGCGCGGTCGCAGAGGCCCGAGGGGAGGTTTCGGGGTGGAGGCCGGCTGCGCAGTGTCCGTCCCGGGGCAGAGGCCAGAGGCGTGGGGTCGCGGCGTCCTGCAGGGCCACGGGCGGGGTCCCGCGACGGTCACTGGTGTTCCGGGGTCCCGCGGGGTCAGAAGTCTCGGAGGGGGCCCGGGGGCCGGAGGTCACGGAACAGCGGGAGCCCAGAATCCGGCGCCGCTCGGGGCAGGGGCTGAGGGAGGGGACGGGGAGAGCGGCTCCCGCGGGACCGTTTGGCACAGACGGGGCGGGGGCGCTGGGCACTACGCGGCCTCCCGGGCGCGCGAGGGGGCGGGGCGGGGAGGTCTGGCGCGGCCCAGCCCCGGGATCGGGGCCGATCGGGGGTCCGTAGCCGGGCTGGGGCCCGGCGCGCGGCCCGGGGGGCAGGGGAGGGCAGGGGCTCAGACCGGGGGTGCGGCGCCCCCGGCCGTGTGCATGCTGAAGTACTCGGTGAAGCCGGTGTGCGGCGCCGCCGTCTGGGGCACGAGCGGCTGGTAGGGCGGCGTCGGGCCATCCCAGCTCGGGTCAGCCGCCTTGGGAACCGAGTGGGAAGGGGCGGGGAGGCCGCCCCCGGCTCGGCCATGGTCACCACGCGGCCCCTCGGGGCCGCCGCCGCAGCCGCCACCGCCGTCTCCTCCACCTGCTTCCCGGCCTGGGAGGGGGGTCAGGGTCAGAGGTCGCCCGGTACCAACGGGGGGGCAGATGCGGCCCCGAAGGCCCTTCCTCCTCCCCCCGGAGGAGCCCCCCTCCCCGAGAAGTGGGCGCACGTGTCAGTCAGGGAGGGAGCGAGTGGCGGGCGCCAGGGCAGCGGGGCCAGGTACTCGAGGGGCGGTGTCAGGGCGCGCGGGCGCGCCCCGGCGGCGGCCGGGGCGGTGGGGGCGAGCCGCGGAAGGCTGGCGGCGGGGGCACCGCGCGCGGCTTCTGGGGGGCGTGCGGAGGGAGCGCCAGGACCAGTCCGGCAGGGTGGGCGCGGGCGCCGGGGCACGGCGCGGCGGCGGTGGGGGCGCGGGGCGTGCGAAAGGCGGGGGGGTGGGCTCAGGCGCCCCGGCGCGGGGGCGGGCGGCGGGGCCGGGAGCGGGGTCAGGTACTCCAGGGGCGGCGCCCGAGCTCCTCGGGCGCCGGGAGCGCGGGGCTTACGGAGGAGGCGGGCGGGGGGATGGAGAAGAGCTCCGTGAAGTTGGGCACCGAGTCGCTGATGAACGTCACGTTTCCGTAGACGTGCTGCGGGAAGGCTTTGTCCGCGGACTGGCTCCCTCCCGGGCCCGGGGCCCCGGCTGAGGCGATCTGAGACGTGCGCACGTGGTAAGGGAAGTTCTTGTTGGCCGCAGACGGACGCGTCATGATCTGGGGCGAGGGGCCAGGCGCAGGTTAGAGAGGCACAGTCACCGTCCCACGCTGTCTCCATACACACGGCCCTAAGGACTGCCCTTCACTTGACATCCCCCGGTGCTTCCCTGCAGCCCTTCAGCTGGACCTGCTGCCACCACTGGGCTCTCGGTGTCCTCAGTGCCCTGACTTTTTCCTCCATTACAATTCTTATTGCTCTGCTGATTCTTCCTGTCAGAGTCCTGACCACTGAGTTATCACTGACTGGTTAAGCTTCCATGTCTTGTGCTATCCATACTAGAGAGTATGATAGCCACTAAGCATGAGCAACTAATTAAATTTAATCAATTATAACTAATTTTTTTTGTTTCTGGCCAGATTTAAGTGCTCAATAGCAACATGTGGTTGCGCACTGCACTGGACAGAACAGACTGTAGAATATTTTCGTAAACACAGTTCACTTCGACAGCAACTGACAGACTCTAGAATGTTAACTCCATGTGGACAGGAACTTGACTGTTCTTGTACCTGCTGAGTCCCCAATACCTTCTAGAATAGTGGCTAGCACATGTAAGATCTCAGTAAATATTGGTTGAATGTAGAGATGTCCCCCAGTTAGTCTGGTCGGAGTAGGGTGTGACTCTAGCACCAGACCCCAAAAGCCTAGCAAGGCCCCTCTGAGGTTGTGCTGAATAAATGAACACTAAGGAGCGGTGGAATGCCAGAGAGGGACTATGCTTAGCTAAAGTCAGTGTTTTTAAGAAGGAAACTGACTGAAGGTGAAATGTAGTTGAAAAGGCATTGCGGGCCTCCCCGGTGGCGCAGCGGTTGAGCGCTGGTTGCGAAGCTGCCCGCAGCCTCCGCGGAGCCGGTTCGATCCCCGGGCTGCTCCCATGCCACCGGAGGAGGGTTCCACATGGCCGCGCAGACCTCTCCTGCCGCCCGCTGCTCCCCTCAGCAGGTACTTCGGTCCTTCTGCCTGCTCTGCTCCCTGCTCTGGATCT